GAATTGCATCAGGTCGTCCACAAATATTAACTGTAATATTATTGGGAGTTGTACCTGAGACACATTCGAAATCAGTCACAACAAATGCGACGAGATAAGTCGACATTGGCGGTGTATCTTCGAATTCAGATAATAAACGGCCATTAGGTTGCTGAACAGGTTGTCCTCCGTTGAGCATTGCACCATTCGATCGAACAACTGTAAAACTTGAATCATGTGTAATGGAAATGCGAAATTTTGCTTTGAATCCTGGTTCATCAAAACATGGAAATACTGTTCGTGCTAGTGTTGGCTACATGAATCAATCAAATCAAAGAAAAGAGAATACAGAGGAAAATTCAAGTTCTTTTTACCTGCATGTGCGTCGCTGCAATATTGTGTGTGATAGCTCCATTCGTTGTTTTATATTGACTCAAATAGAAACCCGACATATCTTGACTCAACTCCGTTGTATATTCGGCTTCGAATTGATATATTTCATTGGTCAAGCATCGTTCCCGTAACCGACAGAATAGGATTTCCGAAGCGGATAGCCATGTGTAGTCGACAATCAGATTATTCGGTGTATTCAAACGTTTTAATCTGATGGATGTCATTTGTAGTTTATTTGCATGGATTCGAAATTCATTGGTTGGTTGAGTACAATTAACAGTAATGGTCGCATAGCCAGTAAAGCGGGTATTAGGTTGAGCATTGTTTGGATACACTGTTTGGAGTTGTAAATCAAAATGAAGTTCGTAGTGAGACGGTCTCCAATGCAAAGGAAGACGAATAGCATTGGTTCGATTATTGAACCATTCAACTAAATTCGGTTTAGCTTTATCAATCCATTGAATATTACTACGGATACGTTCGATTGACGATTGAAATTGTGCATTGTTCTAAAGCAACAGAACTTAACATACAGACAGAAAATATCATCAACTTACTGTGTCAGCTGTTTGTTCGAAAAACTGTTCGAATTCGCTCAATTGTTGTCGGGTATTGAATCTCGCGGTGATGTCTTTGATCAGATCAACAAAACTTAGCGATCCACCGAACTGATCAAATAGCTGTTGCCATCGTGAGCGTACAAACGACCAGCATTCCGTTTCTGCAATCAGATTTCGACAAATCGCTCGTATGCCTGACAGAGCATCTTGTGGTCGGATAATATTCAATTGCGAATCGATATGAATTTCCAATAAATATCGAATCAATTCAGTATCGCGTGTACATGCTAATGCAGATTGTATTCGTGACTTTTCTTGCGGATCGTTTGATTGTTGGTATTGATTGAGAAGATATTGAAATTGAACTCGCGTACCACGGCGAACAGCTGTACAGTACACAACTGAACGAAAGTTTGCTCCGATCGAGTTGTTCGATGGTTGGTCAAACCACTGATCGAATAATGATTGAGCATGCTGTATACAATCGTCAACGTTCTGTCGACATGCCATGGAGATAATCAAGTCGCGATGGAGTCCATCGAGCCATTGTTCAGTTTGATTGGAAGTTTGCGATTGCCACCCGAGTTTGGCGTATATGGGAGATATTAGATCGATCACATACGATTGATATTGGTCGTATAGCGTAATATCGGAACTTTTCGATGCGATCATCTGCTCGATATAGGAAAGACCGTTAACAATACGCTCCCAAACGATATAGGCATCTTCACTCCGAACATAACTAATTAGATCAAGTACCAGTGATGTTTCCAGAATATCTAGAAAGGTGAATGATGAATAATGGAAGAAATTACTTTAGTAACTCACTTGCTCGTGCTAAATTGAATGCATCGTCGATCAAGCCTGCTCTTTCTATTACAGTGAAACTTTTATGATTCGATTTCAACTGCTCCCGAATCAACATCCAATTCTGTCGATCATAATTCGTACGAAAAAAGCCTAGTAAATTTGGATTGGCTAAGATCCATTGATTGGCTTGTACACTGATATTCAGCGTTACATTCATTCGTTCTTGATGAAACCAAGTTAGATCCGATACAGATGCAGATACAGATTTGAATTGTAATGGAATATACCAAAGATATTTGTACGGTGATTGAGGTGGTTGTGCTTTGGGATCAAATAGGAATTGGTGTTGTTTGACGGTCACTCTTTCCGTAATGTAATCACGTGTCACATCGACGTATGGATAACCTAATTGATTGGTCCATGTATTCATGATCGTATCTAGTGTGGTATTATTTGGTAATTGGATGTTATCTTCGGACATTTGTTCGCCTAATGCTTGCCAAAGATCAGTTTGCGTTGCTGTCGAATATAGATGACGTCGAAGGTATTTTGTCACACCTTTATTGAACGTGGCATCGGACATGAAATTACTCATCATTCGAAGTAATGATGAGCCTTTGGAATAGGTGATGGTGTCGAATATACCGGTTAATTCTTCATTTCGTGTCAATTTCATATTGACTGGATGAGAGAACGATATAGAGTCATCTTGCATAACTGCAAGCCATCGTTGAATAATAAATTGCTGAAATAAATCCCATTCTGGATGAATCTTGTTTGTTCCTACAAATTCCATCCATTTGGCAAAGCCTTCATTCAACCATAAATCATCCCACCATGCCGGTGAAACAAGGTTACCGAACCATTGATGAGCAAGCTACGAAACAGAATCGAGTTCCAAAAATAGAAACTGGAATACAAATTTAGTTTACTTCATGTGCAATGACGGCAGCAACACTTTGTTTATTAGATGATGATGATGTTCGATTGTTATAGAAGAGTCGTGTTTCTCGATAAAGAATGCAGCCGAAATTCTCCATTGCACCTAAAACAATCGAAAAATATTCAACAGAGAATTTCTTATATGTCCATTTACCGGCATCGAAGTCAGGTATAGCGATATGATCACATTTGGATATAGGATAGCTGATTTGATATTGTTCTTCAAAATCGTGAATACTCTTCGCGGCAATTTCGAGTGCATAACTTAACGATTCTTTCTTTTCGGTTTGTGCACATACATTGGTCGTGATATTTCTATAGAATCCTGTATTGTTTTGTGTAATACATTCAAAATCAGCAACAACTAATGCCAACAGATACGAACACATCGGCACTGTTTTTTCAAATTGCGTCGACGTCCAACCATTCAATTGATTGCTACTATTTCGAATCGGCATATTGCTCCATACTCGATACTGTTGTTCGTGTTCGACGGTGACCGTAAACGTAGCTTTGAACATTGGCTCGTCGAAACATGGGAGAGCTCGCCGTGCTGCGATCGGTTCCATCTGTGATGCAACTAGATATCGTCGAGTTTTATCGGATGATCGTACGTAGGAGCTAAGATAAAAACCATTGGTGTCGCTTCGTAATTCTCCGATGTAATTTATTCTTAGAGTTGGTTGCTCATTGATTTGAAGTGTTCGATTGAGTACGATCGTAAAAAAATCCAGATCTTCGTTAAAACTCGTGGAAACAACAGATGCAGAACCGGTAACTTCCACTGCACCTTTGATTTCGATAAAACGCTTGTGTAAAATAATCTGGTTGGTCGGATGAGACACGTTTAGTTGGATACTAACTCGTCCATCGAAGGTAGATGAACGAATATTATCATTAGTGATGTTCAGATAAGGTTTAACGAAAAGATCGTAATGAATGGGTATAATATCCGACGGTAGACGATAACTGATAACTGTAGATTGGTTGTTGGAACGAAAATATGCAACGATCGAGCCGAGATTTTTTATATTCCATTCAAGATTTGCACGAATTCGGTCCGTAGATAATTGAAATTGACGAGAGGCTGTGCCTGAATGAATTTACAAGAAAAAACAAAGACTTTCAAGGACAAAACACTATCGTTATTGTTTACCTTTATCAGGAATTGAGTCGGCAAATGTTTGGAATTCATCTCGTTGTCGAGTAGTAACAAACCGACTTGATGCAGCTTCGATAACATCTCCTAAATCGCTCTCTATCTTACCCCATTTTTGAAAAAGTCTCGACCAATTATCACGAATCCAGTTCCAAGCGATTTGATTGACTCGCGCTGAACGAGCGACATTCGCAACTGACCAAAGAATATCTTGATCACGAATTATCGAATCATTCGCCAGATGTTGATCGAGAAACCAAATAACCAACGATGGGTTTTCGACACAAGCAAGTCCTCGAAGAAGATTTAATGTTTCACTCGCGACTGTTTCTTGTGCGAGACGAGTCCAGAAGAAGTCGAAGACAGATTTGGAACCTTCGCGAACGACCGTACAATAAACAGTCGAACGAAGGTCTGGAGGAATTTCGTTGAGGCTCGGATTTAAATACCATCGGCGATAAGCACTACGCGCTGCTTCAATACACGCCGAATGACGATAATGGCAAACCGCTGAAACAATATCTGGTTGTAAAAGGACTTGGAGCCAATCTGTAGTAGAATCGATTGACATCCATCCGATTCGATTGTAAATTGGAAGAATGAGTTCGAGGAAGTAAGTTTGCACATCCGTCAGAATGTTCTGGTTGGAAAGTAATTCTTCCTGTTGACGCATAGAAGAAAGTGCTGCTATCCAGGGGACGTAGTCTGTTTCTCGTTTGAGATACTGGATTAATTCATAGGCATCCGTTGCGTTGATTAAACCTGCACGTGAAAGCGCAAAGGTATCATCTATTAAAGCGCCACGATTAATATTTGGAATGCGCGTATGGTCTGCGTGAAGTTGATTGATAATTAAACGAAAATTGTGTGCATCATACTTTGTTCGATAAATACCGAGATAACCTGGGTTCGCCAAGATCCAACTTGTACTTGCTATACTGGTATTCAATTCTTGACTTGTGTCATTCAACCAGAAAAGTTTACTTTCCGACAATTCCTAGATAGAGAAAGAATGTTAAATGCCGTAGATAAATATATATGAAAATCTACTTTGTTCAATGATTGTTGTACGTATTTGAATGGAATCCACCATTTCTGTTGTGTAATTGTTGACGACAAGAGATTGAACGGTCGTTGACTAATAACTATTCGAGTACCGCTGACGTCGTTAATTCGATTCACTTCCACAACGGGATAACCAGCTTGTCGTATCCATCCATTCATGATTTCTGCAACTTTGATAGTATTATTCTTAGCTTCACTCAATGACGTCCATAGATTTTCCTGTGTTGCTGAACTATAGCTATACTTTTTCAAATATGCTTGAATACCACGTTGAAATGTTTCTGCATCCAAAAACATCGACATCATACGAATGACAGATGCTCCTTTACTGTAAGTGATCGAATCGTACAATTGAAATATGTCATCTGGATTGGTAGACTCAATACTAATTGGTCGTGATGTTGGCAATGAATCTGCTTCCATGAAGTCGAAGATCTTGTCAACAACAAATTGTTCTTGTTGTTTCCATGTCGGTTGAACAGCATCAGCGGCTAACGTTTCCATGTAACTAGCAAAACCTTCTTTCAACCACCTACGAAACGTAAATGATCAACGAGAATAAACGCAACAAATATCCAAACTTACAAATCACCCCACCAAGAAGGTGAAACTAAATTACCAAACCATTGATGAGCTACTTCGTGAGCAATTAATGTAGTTATACTCTGTTTCAATGATGCAGGCACCGTTTTCTCGTCGAAAAACAATCCCACTTCATTGTATATTAGCAAACCTAAGAAAGGGAAAGTATTCATGAAACAATCGATGAAAATAATCTTTACCGTAATTCTCCATTGCCCCACCAGTAAAATCAGGAACAGCGAAATGTTCGATTTTCGTCAGTGGATAATCGATACCAAAGTAGTTATTGAAAAACTCCACAACGTCATAGGCCACTTCATCAGCATATGCTAATTGTGGAAGAATGTCTTTACGTCCACATACTCTCGATCTGATGCTTGTTGAGTTAATCGTACGATACGGCCGACACGAAAAGTCAGACGATGGAGCCATAATCATTGCTAAAAGAAATGTTGACATGTTTAATGTTCGATGAAAGTGCGACACGAGTTGACCATCTTTTAATGTGTCAACTCGTTCAACTTCTGCATTAGACCAGACAGTATATGTTGAATCATGCTGAATACTAATCTGAAAACTCGCTTTCCGTGCGGGCTCNGAATTGCATCAGGTCGTCCACAAATATTAACTGTAATATTATTGGGAGTTGTACCTGAGACACATTCGAAATCAGTCACAACAAATGCGACGAGATAAGTCGACATTGGCGGTGTATCTTCGAATTCAGATAATAAACGGCCATTAGGCTGCTGAACAGGTTGTCCTCCGTTGAGCATTGCACCATTCGATCGAACAACTGTAAAACTTGAATCATGTGTAATGGAAATTCGAAATTTTGCTTTGAATCCTGGCTCATCAAAACATGGAAATACCGTTCGTGCTAGTGTTGGCTACATGAATCAATCAAATCAAAAGGAAAGAGAATACAGAGGAAAATTCAAGTTCTTTTTACCTGCATGTGCGTCGCTGCAATATTGTGTGTGATAGTTCCATTCGTTGTTTTATATTGACTCAAATAGAAACCCGACATATCTTGACTCAACTCCGTTGTATATTCGGCTTCGAATTGATATATCTCATTGGTCAAGCATCGTTCCTGTAACCGACAGAATAGGATCTCCGAAGCGGATAGCCATGTGTAGTCGACAATCAGATTATTCGGCGTATTCAAACGTTTTAATGTGATGGATGTAATTTGTAGTTTATTTGCATGGATTCGAAATTCATTGGTTGGTTGAGTACAATTAACAGTAATGCTCGCATAGCCAGTAAAGCGGGTATTAGGTTGAGCATTGTTTGGATAGACTGTTTGGAGTTGTAAATCAAAATGAAGTTCATAGTGAGACGGTATCCAATGCAAAGGAAGACGAATAGCATTGGTTCGATTATTGAACCATTCAACTAAGTTCGGTTTAGCTTTATCAATCCATTGAATATTACTACGGATACGTTCGATTGACGATTGAAATTGCGCGTTGTTCTAAAACAACAGAACTTAACATGCAGACAGAAAATATCATTAACTTACTGTGTCAGCTGTTTGTTCGAAAAACTGTTCGAATTCGCTCAATTGTTGTCGAGTATTGAATCTCGCGGTGATGTCTTTGATCAGATCAACAAAACTTAGTGATCCACCGAACTGATCAAATAGTTGTTGCCATCGCGAGCGTACAAACGACCAGCATTCAGTTTCCGCAATCAGATTTCGACAAATCGCTCGTATGCCTGACAGAGCATCTTGTGGTCGGATAATATTCAATTGCGAATCGATGTGAATTTCCAATAAATATCGAATCAATTCAGTATCGCGTGTACATGCTAATGCAGATTGTATTCGCGCCTTTTCTTGCGGATCGTTTGATTGTTGGTATTGATTGAGAAGATATTGAAATTGAACTCGCGTACCACGACGAACAGCTGTACAGTAAACAACCGAACGAAAGTTTGCTCCAATCGAGTTGTTCGAGGGTTGATCAAACCACTGATTGAATAATGATTGAGCATGCTGTATACAATCGTCAACATTCTGTCGACATGCCATGGAGATAATCAAGTCGCGATGGAGTCCATCGAGCCATTGTTCAGTTTGATTGGAAGTTTGCGATTGCCAACCAAGTTTGGTGTATATGGGAGATATTAGATCGATCACATACGATTGATATTGATCGTACAGCGCAATATTGGAACTTTTTGATGCGATCATCTGCTCGATATAGGAAAGACCGTTAACAATACGCTCCCAAACGATATAGGCGTCTTCATTCTGAACATAATTAATTAGATCAAGTACCAGTGACGTTTCCAAAATGTCTAGAAAGATGAATGATGATTAATGGAAGAAATTACTTTAGTAACTCACTTGCTCGTGCTAAATTGAATGCATCGTCGATCAAGCCTGCTCTCTCTATTACAGTAAAACTTTTATGATTCGATTTCAACTGCTCTCGAATCAACATCCAATTCTGTCGATCATAATTCGTACGAAAAAAGCCCAGTAAATTTGGATTGGCTAAGATCCATTGATTGGCTTGTACACTGATATTCAGCGTCACATTCATTCGTTCTTGATGAAACCAAGTTAGATCCGATACAGATGCAGATGCAGATTTGAATTGTAATGGAATGTACCAAAGATATTTGTACGGTGATTGAGGTGGTTGTGCTTTGGGGTCAAATAGGAATTGGTGTTGTTTGACGGTCACTCTTCCCGTAGTGTAATCACATGTCACATCGACGTATGGATAACCTAATTGATTGGTCCATGTATTCATGATCGTATCTAGTGTGGTATTATTTGGTAATTGGATGTTATCTTCGGACATTTGTTCGCCTAATGCTTGCCAAAGATCAGTTTGTGTTGCTGTCGAATATAGATGATGTCGAAGGTATCTTGTCACACCTTTATTGAACGTGGCATCGGACATGAAATTACTCATCATTCGAAGTAATGATGAACCTTTGGAATAGGTGATGGTGTCGAATATACCGGTTAATTCTTCATTTCGTGTCAGCTTCATATTGACTGGATGAGAGAACGATATGGAATCATCTTGCATAACTGCAAGCCATCGTTGAATAATAAATTGCTGAAATAAATCCCATTCTGGATGAATCTTGTTCGTTCCTACAAATTCCATCCATTTGGCAAAGCCTTCATTCAACCATAAATCATTCCACCATGCCGGTGAAACAAGGTTACCGAACCATTGATGAGCAAGCTACGAAACAGAATCGAGTTGCAAAAATAGAAACTGGAATACAAATTTAGTTTACTTCATGTGCAATGACGGCAGCAACATTTTGTTTATTAGATGATGACGATGTTCGATTGTTATAGAAGAGTCGTGTTTCTCGATAAAGAATGCAGCCGAAATTCTCCATTGCACCTAAAACAATCGAAAAGCATTCAACAAAGAATTTCTTATATGCCTATTTACCAGCATCGAAGTCAGGTATAGCGATATGATCACATTTGGATATAGGATAGCTGATTTGATATTGTTCTTCAAAATCGTGAATACTCTTCGCGGCAATTTCGAGTGCATAACTTAACGATTCTTTCTTTTCGGTTTGTGCACATACATTGGTCGTGATATTTCTATAGAATCCTGTATTGTTTTGTGTAATACATTCAAAATCAGCAACAACTAATGCCAACAGATACGAACACATCGGCACTGTTTTTTCAAATTGCGTCGACGTCCAACCATTCAATTGATTGCTACTATTTCGAATCGGCATATTGCTCCATACTCGATACTGTTGTTCGTGTTCGACGGTGACCGTAAATGTAGCTTTGAACATTGGCTCGTCGAAACATGGGAGAGCTCGTCGTGCTGCGATCGGTTCCATCTGTGATGCAACTAGATATCGTCGAACTTTATCGGATGATCGTACGTATGAGCTAAGATAAAAACCATTGGTGTCGCTTCGTAATTCACCGATGTAATTTATTCTTAGAGTTGGTTGCTCATTGATTTGAAGTGTTCGATTGAGTACGATCGTAAAAAAATCCAGATCTTCGTTAAAACTCGTGGAAACAACAGATACAGAACCAGTAATTTCCACTGGATCTTTGATTTCGATAAAACGTTTGTGTAAAATAATCTGGTTGGTCGGATGAGATACGTTTAGTTGGATACTAACTCGTCCATCGAAGGTAGATGAACGAATATTATCATTAGTGATGTTCAAATAAGGTTTAACGAAAAGATCATAATGAATGGGCCTAATATCCGACGGTAGGCGATAATTGATAACTGTAGATTGGTTGTTGGAACGAAAATATGCAACGATCGAACCGAGATTTTTGATATTCCATTCAACATTTGCACGAATTCGATCCGTAGATAATTGAAATTGACGAGAGGCTGTGCCTGAATGAATTCAGAAGAAAAAACAAACACTTTCAAGGACAAAAAAACAATCGTCATTGTTTACCTTTATCAGGAATTGAGTCGGCAAATGTTTGGAATTCATCTTGTTGTCGAGTAGTAACAAACCGACTTGATGCAGCTTCGATAACATCTCCCAAATCGCTCTCTATCTTACCCCATTTTTGAAAAAGTCTCGACCAATTATCACGAATCCAGTTCCAAGCGATTTGATTGACTCGTGCTGAACGAGCGACATTCACAACTGACCAAAGAATATCTTGATCACGAATTATCGAATCATTCGTCAGATGTTGATCAAGAAACCAAATAACCAACGATGGATTTTCGACACAAGCAAGTCCTCGAAGAAGATTTAATGTTTCACTCGCCACTGTTTCTTGTGCGAGACGAGTCCAGAAGAAGTCGAAGACAGATTTTGAACCTTCGCGAACGACCGTACAATAAACAGTCGAACGAAGATCTGGAGGAATTTCGTTGAGGCTCGGATTTAAATACCATCGGCGATAAGCACTACGTGCTGCTTCAATACACGCCGAATGACGATAATGGCAAACCGCTGAAACAATATCTGGTTGTAAAAGGACTTGGAGCCAATCTGTAGTAGAATCGATTGACATCCATCCAATTCGATTGTAAATTGGAAGAATGAGTTCGAGGAAATAAGTTTGCGCATCCACCAGAATGTTCTGGTTGGAAAGTAATTCTTCCTGTTGACGCATAGAAGAAAGTGCTGCTATCCACGGGACATAGTCTGTTTCTCGTTTGAGATACCGGATTAACTCATAGGCATCCGTTGCGTTGATTAAACCTGCACGTGAAAGCGCAAAGGTATCATCGATTAAAGCGCCACGATTAATATTTGGAATGCGCGTATGATCTGCGTGAAGTTGATTGATAATTAAACGAAAATTGTGTGCATCATACTTTGTTCGATAAATACCGAGATAACCTGGGTTCGCCAAGATCCAATTTGTACTTGCTATACTGGTATTCAATTCTTGACTTGTATCATTCAACCAGAAAAGTTCGCTTTCCGATAATTCCTAGATAGAGAAAGAATGCTAAATGCCGTAGATAAATATATATGGAAATCTACTTTGTTCAATGATTGTTGTACGTATTTGAATGGAATCCACCATTTCTGCTGTGTAATTGTTGATGACAAGAGATTGAACGGTCGTTGACTAATAACTATTCGAGTACCGCTGAAGTCGTTAATTCGATTCACTTCCACAACGGGATAACCAGCTTGTCGTATCCATCCATTCATGATTTCCGCAACTTTGATAGTATTATTCTTAGCTTCACTCAATGACGTCCATAGATTTTCCTGTGTTGCTGAACTATAGCTATACTTTTTCAAATATTCTTGAATACCACGTTGAAATATTTCTGCACCCAAAAACATCGACATCATACGAATGACAGATGCTCCTTTACTATAAGTGATCGAATCGTACAATTGAAATATATCATCTGGATTGGTAGACTCAATACTAATTGGCCGTGATGTTGGCAATGAGTCTGCTTCCATGAAGTCGAAGATCTTGTCAACAACGAATTGTTCTTGTTGTTTCCATGTCGGTTGAACAGCATCAGCGGCTAACGTTTCCATATAACTGGCAAAGCCTTCTTTCAACCACCTGCGAAACGTAAAGGATCAACGGGAATAAATGCAACAAATATTCAAACTTACAAATCACCCCACCAAGAAGGTGAAACTAAATTACCAAACCATTGATGAGCTACCTCGTGAGCAATTAATGTAGTTATACTCTGTTTCAATGATGCAGGCACGGTTTTCTCGTCGAAAAACAATCCCACTTCATTGTATATTAGCAAACCTAAGAAAGGAAAAATACTCATGGAACGATCGATAAAAATAATCGTTACCGTAATTCTCCATTGCTCCACCAGTAAAATCAGGAACAGCGAAGTGTTCGATTTTCGTCAGCGGATAGTCGATGCCAAAGTAGTTATTGAAAAACTCCACAACGTCATAGGCCACTTCATCAGCATATGCTAATTGTGGAAGAATATCTACACGTCCACATACTCTCGATCTGATGCCTGTAGAGTTAATCGTACGATACGGTCGACACGAAAAGTCAGACGATGGAGCCATAATCATTGCTAAAAGAAATGTTGACATGTTTAATGTTCGATGAAAGTGCGACACGAGTTGACCATCTTTTAATGTGTCAACTCGTTCAACTTCTGCATTAGACCAGACAGTATATGTTGAATCATGCTGAATACTAATCTGAAAACTCGCTTTCCGTGCGGGCTCATCAATACATGGAAGAACTCGTCGTGCGTGAGTCGGTTCCATTTGTGAAGTCATGAAGACACGGTCTTGTCCATTGGCATCAATATAATCACTTAAGTACAGACCGTTTAAATCACGATTGATAACACCGGTGTACACTATAGAAATAGTGTAAGTATACTCCAATTGGAAGTTCGACGAAAAATTCATTATTGCGAATTCATTGTAGCTGTCATATACCAATGACACAAATATCGGCGTGGAGCCAGAGGTCGAATTGACAATTTTTATAGATGAAGTAGTAAGATTTAAATTTATCAAGTGAAGAAAGAGTTGGTTTGTCGGTTCGATACATTTGAACGTAAAGAAAAGTTTACCTACATAACAAGCATATGCTAAATCGATAAGGATTTCGATTGAATTTTATGTTTACCCGTGAAGCTCTCGTGATCTAAATTGGGTTCAATAGTCAGTTGGTAGAGTTGTTGTTGTAAACTAGTCGGTATACGCACGACTGGTGGCGAAGATGTTGTCGTGGTTGTTCCGAATGAAGTGCTGGTTAACGTTGTACGTATTTCGTTGTCAACATTGCTCGAACGCTTTTGATTCACACCAAAATAAATCGTTAATACGAGAAGAACAATAACGATGGCTGCCGTTCCGGCTAGGACAGGCCAAAAGATCTTCTTTGATATTCGATAGGCACTTGTCGAAGTGCTTTCATCTGCAGAATCCTCTAAGTAACGTTTCGACATCTAAAAGTTGTGTTTCAGTGAAAAGAGTAATTTCAGTCGTCTTATCGATGAAACCAAACAGTTAATCTTAGTAAATATAAGCGAAAGATATCGTCGTCACTAACCTTTCTGTTGATTTACAATGGGTATACAATGAAAAGACGCTTCTCTCTATATGCGCTTTTGTATTGAATCAGAACTGATATAAATCAAGTCAATTAGAATTTTCTTATCTTTACCTGTGCGTCATCACTATTACAATGCACAATTCTTTGTTCGAACATCGAAATAAAAGAAAATTTATGAGTTTATTGTATGATGTTGCCTTAGTTCAAGATACGAGAGTGAATGTTTTAAAATCGTATTTACTTCGTCAATATTTGTATAGTTACGACATCTGTTTTTTGTTTTTAGAAAGTAATCTATTCTACTAAGCAATTTCGAATTGACAAACTTTTAATTCAAACTTTCTGATAAAAATATGAACATTGTTCATCCATATTGAAAATGGCTTTTTTTATTGGATGTTGTCATTGTACTCATCTTCTATCTGTCTCTCTCTTTTCATGGTCACGCATCGATTAATATTCGTTGATCGAAGGTAGTTTTGATCAATCATTAACACAAAAATGTCGACCCAAGCAAGTGATAATAATAAAGTATACGCTTGTGCGATTCAGAATGATTCGGAGGGTGATATTCATGCTGTAGTTATCTACGCTGGTATTCCAGATGTGCACGGAGAAATAAAACAAACGCGTGTGGAACAGGACGTAGCCAAAGGTCAACGACGTTATCTTTATCAACGCCTCGTTACTCGACCAACTCATAATATAATCGAAGTTATCGAACGCCTTGAAGTGACGAAAGCCAATGGAAGTAAATTAGAATTGAAAGCACCGTTTGCTGGTGTTAAAGGTCGTATTACTGATTGGGTCTTCGTCGTCACTGACAAAGAAATCAAATCTGGCGAAAAGAAACAGTAGATGCATGCTTTTTTTCAAGAATAATTTTCATCGATTATTATTATACCGAAAGAATAAAGTATGCATCATTTTCTATGACAGTATCAAAATAAACATATTTAGAAAAAATTCCATTCGAGTTTATTATACTTTGTTCTACATTGTTCTAATACGTGGAGACAATCTCTATTTCTAAGGAAATCCAACGATCATCGCTATTTAATATTAAATACATTGTAGTTTTCAATAAAGGCACCCTCATGTTGAGTATTATGCCATAGATCGACGAAGAAGTAAATGTTCGATTCTTTATCGCAGTTTCTTACTAATCACTTCTCTGGTACTATTGCACTATTTGTTGATGTAAAGTAACTTTTTATTTTTATTGTTTTGTTTGAAGAGTAATGCAGAACTGAAAAGAAAACCTTTCTACAAAGAGAATAAATATGAAATAGAACGAGACAAAAGTTTATGACGTATCGTTGCGATAGCGGTTATTGAACACATAATTATATTCTTTAATTTCCTCATTGTTTGCAAACGATTGCTTTTCGTCAAATATGAAACCGTTGTCAGCCATCCATTTTACACTATGAGCAGCAGAAACCTGGTTTTTATATAACATGTTGCTTGTCTTGTTGTTCGTGGACACTTTTTTTTGCGTTTCGATAATAATTTTTCCTACTCGTTTCAGTTGCTCTCCACCGCTTTGAGCAACTTCTAAGTCGGCACCTTGCGCGTCGATCTTTAATAGTTGAATATCTAAACGAGGATCAATCAGCGACAAAATTGTCTCCAAACGTACCGTAGAAACACCAGTCATTTGTTTTACTTGATGACACCCTGTCAGCCATTTACCAGCAAAATAACTCACATCAAGTTCAGCATTTGGCTCGAGTAAACTACTGCAACCGTCAACAGGGTACTCATAGAACAGTTGCGTACCTGCACCCGTATAAACAGCGGCGATAATTGCTACAACTCGAGGAATTTTCGATAGTCCATCGTAAAATCTGGCATTAGGGTCGATAGCAATAGTCATGATGTCGGTGGCTTCTCTAAACTCATCCCTGAGATTTTTCGACGTCCGGCTAGGCCAATAAACGGCTGAGTAAACCGAATCCCCAGCTAAGAACGTTCCAGCATGCGATCCAACATCGATCCAGACGCGTTTGATTGTATCGGGCATCGGTATGTATCCTTGAGTATTAAGAGTAAACATCGTCCGTTGAACCATCGTTACGAAATCCTTCTTGTTTCCTTCGACAACTACAACACCTGCACCAAATCCACCAAATCCTACTCTGTTCTTTGCTACAGTATTACTGAATACTTTCAAACCACCATGGATGGTATAGTTGACATAAAACACGGCAAACCCAATAATAATGATGATCGAAGTAATTGTTAGTTGGCCGCTTCTATTCATTATTTTTAAACTTAATAGCTTTCGTTCTGTAATTTTGTTAAACTATTTAAGTTTCATATTTATTGAGAATAAAGAAAAAAAATCATAACAAACACGATCTTTTTCCTTTGTCAAAGACAAAGAAGTCGGTACTAAAAAAGAAGTACATCAAAGGGAAAACAATCAACATGAAACGCCAACATGAACATACAGCAGAGAAAAACAGATAACTTAGTGACCATATCGGTCATAGGGTGAAATAGAAACCTCATACGGTTGAAGAAATTTTTCTTTCTATATTGTTCTCTCTTCCGAAAAAAATAAAGTGAATGAGATTTATTATTCCAAAACATGACCTCACAAGCACAGAAACGTCCTATACGTTTTGGTAATGTTAGTGGTTCTTATTTTGATCTTGGGTCTGGCTGAATTGAATTTGGCGTCGAATGCGCAAGTACATCGAGCGGGTCAATATTCTGATTGGAAGAAAACTGCGGAAAATGGAATTATACAAACGTTAGACGTCGTTTCAGCAAAACACAGCAAAGTGAGAAAATTCATTATTGTTCAGTAATGATGTGACTTGATTTCACTTGAAGTGGTTATCAATGGCAGTGATTGGAATCCATCCGGATTAGCTCGACGTATTGTTTCAATTGTGATACAGTTATTTGTGGACGAGCAGCCGATGCATCACCAGTGGTTGACTTGGCCGCTTGATGATGGCACGGTTGGAATGAAATAGATTTCGGCAATCTTGCCGGTCATTTAATTGAATGTTCAAGCTATATTATTGGATGTAATTTTTGTGATTTCGATCGATATCCTATTGGAAAAACTGATCGATGTTGATTTACCAATTGTGGAAATTGCCTATGACAGTAGTTGTGTGATTGCGAAACACGAATTTCTCAATGGAGTCGGTATGGTAAAATGTCAGCTGTTACATGAATAGCGACATGAAAGCAGGTCTAACAAACCTTAGGATTACACAGGAAAGTTCGAATTACATACGTGTCACTGGAACAAAAGAATATTCTCCACCAGCTATTACTAAACTTGCGATTTTCTATATCGGTGATCATCAATGCGAAACGACGGTGAATGCTACAGGAAGAAATAGCCATAGAAAATTTGCTTATTACCGACGGCAAATTGAACATGGCTGGCATCAAGCTGGCACACGCGATCGTAGTAGAGATAAAGGTGGGAATATTAATTTAGAACTTTTCGTTTACGAAGAAGATGAATACGAATGGCTTCATACTTATTTCACTCGACAACGATTACAAATATTAATTGTAGATGATTGGAAACAATGATATTTTACTGAACGAGTACAAATACCTCATATTTATGCAGTTCATTTTGTTGTCTGCGGCATTCTCGGACGTAGTGTTAGTTCATGCATTATTCTTGATTCCTTGGGAAAAGGTTTTGCAGATTATATTCGAAGCAAATATATTCCTATTCCTGACATATTCGTTCGTCGATACGATGGCAGAACATATAGTATTTAATCTCTTCTTCCATTTTTTTTCTCTGTATACCAAGAAATAATTAAATGTACGAAACGTATGACAATATTTCAAAATTGCACCATCTATCGATGAAAGAAAAATCTGCTGTTTTTTTCATTCTGTGATTTTGCAACGTTGAGTAATACACTATTGGCTCTTCTCTTCTGTGTCGCAAGCGTTGTGTAATTTTGTGCTTTATATTCTGAAATTGAAGAAAAATTTCAACACAACGTAGTTTCAATTATGCTGTCGGATACAGGACCAGTCGTAGCAAATTTTACAGANTATAACATGTTGCTTGTCTTGTTGTTCGTGGACACTTTTTTTTGCGTTTCGATAATAATCTTTCCGACTCGTTTCAGTTGCTCTCCACCGCTTTGAGCAACTTCTAAGTCGGCACCTTGCGCGTCGATCTTTAATAGTTGAATATCTAAACGAGGATCAATCAGCGACAAAATTGTCTCCAAACGTACCGTAGAAACACCAGTCATTTGTTTTACTTGATGGCACCCTGTCAGCCATTTACCAGCAAAATAACTCGCATCAAGTTCAGCATTTGGCTCGAGTAAACTACTGCAACCGTCAACAGGATACTCATAGAACAGTTGCGTACCTTCACTTGTATAAACAGCGGCGATAATTGCTAGGACTCGAGGAATTTTCGATAGTCCATCGTAAAATCTGGCATTGGGATCGATAGCAATAGTCATGATGTCGGTGGCTTCTCTAAACTCATCTCTGAGATTTTTCGACGTCCGGCTAGGCCAATAGACGGCTGAATAAACCGAATCCCCAGCTAAGAACGTTCCAGCATGTGATCCTACATCGATCCAAACGCGTTTGATTGTATCGGGCATCGGTATATATCCTTGAGCATTAAGAGTGAACATCGTCCGTTGAACCATCGTTACGAAGTCCTTCTTGTTTCCTTCAACAACTACAACACCTGCACCAAATCCAACAAATCCTGCTCTGTTCTTTGCTACAGTACTACTGAATACTTTCAAACCGCCGTAGATGGGATAGTTGATATAAAACACGGCAAGCCCAATAACAATGATGATCGAAGTAATTGTTAGTTGCGCGCTTCGATTCATTATTTTAAACCTAATAGTTTTTGTGCTGCAATTTATTTAAACTATTTAAGTTTCATCTTTAGTGAGAATAAAGAAAAAAAAACTTGTCCGCGCAGCCCCGTTTGGGCTAAAATGCGGAACTCACATCCCAGTCAGACAAAAATTTGGCAAAACGCGTTTAAACACAAAAGAGAACCGCGATTGTGAGCTATTAACGTTCAGTTAAAACGCGCTCGAACATGCGTTTACTGATTTTTTCCAACTTTCTTAATGTGTAAACATCAGAACTTTCCTTTTTCCAACGTAGAACCGGTCTTTTAAAATAGAATTCTAAGACAAGGCGTTTTCACGCTAGAGAAAGGAAAATTCTAATGTTTAAACGCTGAGAAAGTTAAAAAAAACCAGCAAACGCGTGTTTAAACACGTTTTTCTAAATTTTTGTCTGACTGGGACGCTTGCATTTGGAAAACGAGATTGTGGATTAGAATAGGATACTTAGGGAGTAAGCTCACTTTAAAATCATCACTCTCAAGCTGGTAGCATTTCTAGTAGTCACAAAAGGTATAAGCAGTTGATTCAACTGAAAAAACAAATATACAATTGACTGTTCTTAGTTTAATATAGAAATATTATGTGAGAATTATTTAGAATTTCAGACAAGGCGAGATTTTTCTGAGCAAAGTGCACGTTGGGCCATTTTCGCATAATTTAAATAATACAGAGTAAGGTCCAAACAGTACACCAAAAAATAACGAATCAGCATTTGAAATGCAAATACTTTTACTTGAATGGAAAATAATAGAAATTTGAACACGCTGATTACATTTTTCTATGTTCCATAACTCTAATACTCTCTACATTTCTAATACTTATATAGGTCATACGGCTACAATAATCGTTGCAGTGCCTGCACCCTGTAGCGGCTAACGCTGTCTCTCTTGTACTCCGTGACCTCGTAGCAGCTAATTTGTATAGCTGAAATAGCTGCTTGCGGCGCATGGGGCGAGGAGTCCAAAGATCCTGGATATAGAACTTACACTCACTATTTTCCTTCGAAAAATAATGTGAGTTTCACAAAAAATCATAAATAAATATGATCTCTTTCCTTTGTCAAAGACAAAGAAGTCGGTACTAAAAAGAAATACATCAAAAGGAAACCAATTAACATGAAACGCCAACATGCACATGCAATAGAGAAAAAACATATTACTTAGTGATCATAGCAGTCATAAAGTCAAATAGAAACTTAATAAGACTGGAGAATTTTTTTTCTTTCTATATTGTTCTCGCCTCCCTAAATAATAAAGTGCATGAGATTTATTATTCGAAAACATGACTTCACAAGCACAGACCCGTCCTATATGTATTGGCACTGTTAGTGGTTCTTATTTTGAGCCTGAATCTAGCTGAATCGAATTTGGCATCGAATGCGCACGCATATCGACCGGGTCAATATTCTGGTTAGCAGAAAGTTGCGGAAAATGGAACTATCCAAACGTTAGATGTCATTTCAGCAAAATACATAAAAGTGAGGAAATTCATTATTGTTCAGGAATGATGTGACTTGATTCCACTTAAGGTGGTTATCAATCGCGGTGCTGTGAATCCATCCGGATTAGCTCAACGTATCGTTTCAATTGTGATACAGGTATTTATGGACGAGCAGTCGATGCATCGCCAGTGGTTGGCCTGGCCACTTGATGACGGCATGGTTGGAATGAAATAGATTTCGGCAATCTTGCTGGTGCATTTCTTGCCGATCATTTAATTGAGTGTTCAAGTTATATTGCTGGATGTAGTTTTTGTGATTTCGATCGATATGGTAAAATGTCAGCTGTTATATGAATAGCGACATGAAAGCAAATCTAACAAACTTTAGGATTACACAAGAAAGTTCGAATTACATACGTGTCACTGGAATAAAAGGATATTCTCCGCCAGCTATTACTAAACTTGCAATTTTCTATATCGGTGGTCGTCAATGCGAAACGACGGTGAATGCTGCAGGAATAAATAGTCATGCAAAATTTGCTTATTACCGACGGCAAATTGAACATGGCCGGCATCAAGCTGGCACACGCGATCGTAGTAGAGATAAAGATGGGAATATTAATTTAGAACTTTTCGTTCACGAAGAAGATGAATACGAATAGCTTCATACTTCTTTCACTCGACAACGATTACAAATATTAATTGGATGTGATTGGAAACAATGATATTTTACTGAACGAGTACAAATGCCTCATTTTAACGCGGTCCATTTTGTTATCTACGGCATTCTCAGACGTAGTGTTAGTTCATGCATCATTCTTGATTCGTTGGGAAAAGGTTTTGCAGAGTAAGTATATTCGAAGCAAATATATTCCTATTCCTGACATATTCGTTCGTCGATACGATGGCAGAACATATAGTGTTTAATCTCTTCTTCCGTTTTTTTCTCTGTATACCAAGAAATAATTAAATGTACGAAGCGTATGACAATATTTCAAAATTACACCATCTATCGATGAAAGAAAACTCTGCTGTTTTTCATTCTGTGATTTTGTCACGTTGAGTGATACACTATTGGTTCTTCTCATCTGTGTCGCAAGCGTTGTGTAATTTTGTGCTTTATATTCTGAAATTGAAGAAAAATTTCAACACAACGTAGTTTCAATTATGCTGTCGGATACAGGACCAGTCGTAGCAAATTTTACAGAACTACGCATTTATCCATCGTTTACAGAAATTCGTCAACAGTACAACGCACCGAAGGTGAGTTCGTTTTTATTACGCTAAAATAATCGAATATTAAGTTATTTCATAGAATTTCAAAACGTATTTTGCACGAGATGTCTATTCGAATATTGTTCAAGGATCATTATCGATTGAAGGTATTCCAATTGAATCAAAACAATTCGTTTCTAAAGCGAATAATCTCGAGAATCAAACGATCTTCGTTCGACGTTCGGCAAATGAATCACCACATGAATGTCGCGTTATTCAAGGTGATGATCTCCTTGTACAGGATCTCCAGACGAAAAGATATTTTCATGCGCAGCGAAATGAACTCGAGTATGTGACAACACCTGAACAAGTAGGTACAGAAGTGTTGTATGTGCTAAAACAACAGGGCAAAGCCACGTTGAGTTATCGAATTGGTGGCATTTCCTGGTCAGTACAGTATGAATTGAATATTTTGTCGGAAGATTGTCAACATACATTCCAAGCATTTGCTGAAATTGTCAACGGAACAAAGCAGGAGTACAAGGTCGATCGCGTCGAAATGCTCGGTGGTGATGTAGTTATACAACGAGAAAGTGGACTGAAACGGCGGCGTTCTCGATCTCGATCTCGGTCCCGTTCTCGAAGTCGAAGTGACAGCGATGATGCAGCCGAAGAAGATGAAGACTTTAATTCCTGTACTCCGACACCAGGTATTCAGAGCGAGGACGAATTAGGAGGTATGTTACATTGATTTGACTTTTATTTGACGTAATTTCATTGTATTTTGAAAGGTTTACATATTTATTCGATCGATCAACCATTTGCTCTTTTACCAAAAGCAACCCTCTGTTTGCCGTTCATCGATGCAACCATGCAAATCAGTAAATGTTTAGGTCTATCACTTCAATTTACAACTTATACACAGATACGAAAATTACAGCGAAAATATCGCATTGAATCCGTGGATAAATTTTTACCCGGTGGACCGTTAACTATTCGAGAACAAGGACGGCTAATAGGAACAACAACTTTACCTGAAATGTCTATAGGTGACAAACATACTTTCAATTCAGGACAAGATTCTGACGTGAGTTGGTTTTCTCTTTCAATCTATTTACATCCATTTGATTTTTCAGGTTTCATTAAATCGACAGGTAAAGTTAATTTCCAAGGAAAGACATTCAGCTGTCTATTCTGTCCATTTAACATTCAAAAACGTCAAATCTACACCAGTGAAATTTGAATATGAAGAAATTGTTGACAATGACAATGAACACTTCAAAGTTATTCCGAAAGGAAGCGATGATCAACGAAGTCAAATTCAAGTGACAGCCAATGGAATCGAGATACAAAACAACACGAATAATACTCTAGCAGCAAATGGTGGCGAACAAGTCTATGAGTATGAAGTTCATATTCATTACATTAAAAGAAGCAATTCATATAAGAAAAACTGTCGAAGAATTTAAGAAAAGATTTTACTGTTTTGGATCAATCATATTTCAGATGTACATGTGGCAAAAATAAAAGTTAACATTTCCCATTGTCCCTAAAATGAAAACGTCTCGAACACTTACTAAAAAAAGATGTCAGCTGGTTATCCTTACAGCGTTTCTGTCTCTCATCATGGAAATGATAGACTAACTTGTCGAAGACTGGCAAGCAACGGCGATTTTTTTAAGCATCTCATATTCATTTTCCTACTTCATTCAAAGCAGCACTCGCTCAGGTTGCATCAGAGGTGGATTCGGTCTTATAGGAAGCTCATACATCTATGGATCGCATTCAAAAACGTACTCGAACTTGTGACGACCGGAATCTGTATCAATTCGGGCAAATGAAACTGTCAGTCCTTTTAACTCAGTATCGAATGTGTTTGGAAAGATATCAATTAGATTTGAGCGAGAAGAGCTAGGAGTCAGCCATTAGTGACAATTCGGAGCACACAAATGCCATCGATAAAGCTAATTTAGCGTTACAACTATGACGTAATTCCGAAGAAATTACTGCAATTCTTGAATTTACAGTTTGACGGACTACATTAGTACAAATTTGCTTTTTCGAATTATTCAAAATAGATCGTGGTTGCCGAGTTCATTGACGCTATCGAACCATTATCAGAAGCTCATCGTGATATGTGCTTACTATATGCTATGGGAAGCACTTATTACCGACGAAGAACGTTAATTCTTAGTATCACACTCTCTATGGCTAGATGATATTGTAGTTCTTTTATCTTAAAATTATAGACTTAAGAAGAAACTGATTTATTCTCGTTGAAGGAATTCTGTTTCATACAAAATAAGTAAAGTTTAAAGCCATAAAAGAAGTTTTTTTTTCTTCTCTGCCTCCTTATTGACAAAAGAGCGACACGTACGAAATATAGTCTGAGTCATCAAGAATGAGTATTCTTTTGCATTCGATTATTCATTCAGTCTCTTAACAACATATTGACAGTGTCACAAACATATATTTTTCATCTTTACAAATGGCAATAACTGCGGCATCGATTTGGGACTGGTCCTTACCAGTTTTACCATTCACATCAATTATAACACTGATTGTTGCCTTATTTGCAGACCGTTTACTTGACAGTCAGGGTATGATGGATAGACCATTCTTTGAAATACCGGTAGCACGTCGATCTTCGACACACGTCTGTTTCTTGGTTGGGATCTTTCTGCTACTTCCTCAAATAATAGCCATTATCATCGGGCGATTTCAATTTCTAGTGAAAACTCAATCAATGATTAATCGAATAATCTTATCCATCTTTCACGTTTCAACTCTTATACCATTAGTGTTCTTCCTTCTTGTAGCCATAGTAAAGCGAAGTCGCCATTCGGATGGATATCAAATGGGTGTCTATGGAATATTCACATCGATTTCATTATATTGTTTTTTACATACGATTCTGATCTGTTATCTATATATACGACGATCGAACGCGCCGCAACATGGGAAAGTGATTTGGCCAATATGGTTTCTGAGTTGTTGTATACTACTCATTATTTTTTACAGCATTTGGATTCACTCGCACAGCGGTATTGCAGGATTTATTGTTGTCTTTTGTCCGTTTATCTACTTTTTGGGTTTTGTGCATCAATTCTGGCTACAAGCAAGGGCAAGACAACGCTATTCTGCCGTAACGAGAGTAATAGCACTCACTGACATCTAGCGCACTATAACCGATTAACTTTTTTTTACACACGTAATTGCATAACACAATTGTAAGAATAAGAAATAAAAAGATATATCAGAGTACATACAATAAGACGAACGTTGAATTTAACAATAACGACAGAAAATGGCTCCTTCTCTAAGAAAACGAGGTAATCCAAAGCTAATTAAAAGACACGCACCCTATCGTAAACTTATAATTCCGGCTGTTCAATTTTGGAATCCAGAAAATAAAGCAAGTCAAGCAACAAGTATACTCCGTATCATTAATTGGATACAGCGTTTTGGCAATTGTGGCAATGGACCTCATTCCAAATTCGGTCAAAAGTGTATACGACGAGCTGTATTTCAAAACGTTCGCTCTGGTTTATTGAAACGAAGAAAAGGATCTTTTCTTCTCGTGAAAAAAAATCAGATATTAAAATAAAACTTTAATGATCGTGACGATTACACGAAAACAATGGTATACAAATTGAGTTACTTTGATCTGAATCCGCACCCATGACAACAGAAAATAAGTAATGCAGTTGATAGAATCCCACTACTACCAGCCACCAATGACAAAATAGTTAAAAATTCTGAACGTTCACATTTAACTGGTTTGTGAATGTAGTGTATAGCAAAGCTAATTTGTGATATACAAATACCGATGGTAATGGCAGAGACAAGACCGAGAATAATAGTTCGACAACACATACTTGCTTTTGTCAGAAGTAAAGATCTTATGAAGTAGAAAAAAATTCCCTTATCTTCAGTGTAGATAAGCGTGCAATGATTAAGAACTTAAAAAGGCAGAGACTGCAAATAAACTTTCTCATGTAGTTCAATCCGAAATATTTATTCATCATGTAGAACAAAAATCAAAACACAAGCAGAGCAACATGCACAACAACATATGAAGCCTATACTTGAATAGAACAAAAGAAGCATAGCAAAAACAAAATTAAACATATGCTTTTCACAATAAGTATCCAGTGCCATCGGATCCGTGAATTGAACAGACGCTTTGACTTTGAAAACCCATACACTTCCCTAATTAATACTCCATCATATTCAATATAATTATATTCATTTATAATATTTTACTCACTACGATTATCCAAGCAATGGCAAACAGTCCCATGATTTTGGTGATTGCGCGCACGCAGAGATCACATTTTTTTTCGGCATCTTCCTTTGAACAACACAGACATCTAATGATAGCCCCGACAATCGTGGATAAGCTAGATATAACACCAAATCCACCATAGACGATTAGCCACATGGGAATCTTTGTCTGTATTGGACACTGAGATCTTCTCTCTATGCCAACCCACAATGCAGCAATTGATAAAATGGACATCACTACTGTGAACACTATTTGAAATATAGTTTTATACACAGTGGTGATGTGCCTGTTGAAAATCTGAGCAACGTCCCGGACACCTCTTGCCATGTGAAGCTTTCAAATCGTTGTAAAACAGATATGATATAATTCTGAGTGGAGAAATCACTTTCAGCTGCTTTTTTCATCCTATGCCGTTCTACAACTGAAACCGTTTTGATTCTTAGACGATAAAATTCTTAACAGCACTTGTGTTCGACATTAAAAAGTTCTTGACTCGTCAAGATAAGATTTCTTGGAAAGGAATGTAAAATTTATTCTTTCGTATTTTACGATAAATTGGAGAATGTTACAAACGCATTAAACTTGTGATAAAGCAAGCAGCAATCGTCATATACGGATTGTTTTGTAGCATGGGCAACGGAGTCTCAAACAGAAATAAGGACGTTCAAGTCGGTAAGGCAAGTGAATTTTATTTGGCATGTCGCAATGGTGATTATCAAAAAGTGAAGCATTTGATTGCAAATTTAAATTACGAACAATTGAGTCAAATTGAGCCGAATGGAAGTACAGCACTGCACGCTGCCACTCACAATGGTCATCGCGAAACTGTCAAATTACTTCTCGAGCACGGTTGTTCTCGTACAACTTTGAATCGATATGGCCATACTGCTTATGATGAAGCTAAAACGGAACAAATGCGTGCTATTTTCCACCGACCTACGTCTCAGCGATTTGTTGACGCAGAACCCACTCAATCATTCGGATTGTTATCCAAAACAGATGACGACGTGCCGGATGATTGGGTCAAAGGTTATACGAGCAGGAGTGGTGCACGTGAAGCGAGTTTAATGCATGCAATAGCACAAGCTCCATTATTAATGAGAAAAGTACTACGAACTCGATTAGAAGAAGAGTGTAAAGAAGAACTGGAGAGTTTTCTCGAGAAAACAGTAGGAACACACCATCCTGCCCGTGCTGGTGTGATCAACCATCTCAACATATATAAGAAGCAAAAATCAGTGGCGTCCTTATTTACATTATATACCATGGAAACACCATTCTATGGAGCATTGCAGAATGATTGTGAAAAGTTTACTGCTTTACTTTATATGCATTTGCCAGCTTTAAAAGATCGTGCTTACCAAGGCATTGCTTATCGAGGTGCTCAAATGACACGCGATGATATTCGAGCATACCAGTGGACACTTGCACAACGTGGACGTGTGCTCGAAACACGTACTATTCAATCAATGTCGAAAAGTAAGGACATAGCACTGCGTTTTGCAAGGAACACGCGGAAATCAAAGCCATTTTCGGTTTTACTAATATTCAATTTTCCTGAAGTTTGCCGGACAGCGATTGACCTAGCCAAGATATCTGAATTTCAAGGCGAAGAAGAAGTCACTCTGCTACCGTTCACTTTATTCACAGTCTCGAACATTACGGTCGATACAAATGACGACGTACCTTATCGAATCACATTACAAAACATTCCAGTAGAGAAAAAGTCCGTTGTAGGAGCTCTGTTAGGTATGAGTTGATTTAATCAATAAATGTAGTTTACGAAAGGCTGGAAAAACACTTTCTTGTTATTATATTTATTGAAAATGTATTAAAAAGGATAGACAAAATAGTAAGATAGATAGTCCTGTAGTATGGGATCTATTGTTGCTCGTTGAAACTAAATCTAATGAATATATCTCACCTGGTGTAGCACCAATATTCGTAAGATCAATCGTATTTTGTCCACTTTGTAATTGCACAGAAATAAAAATTGAACTCCAATTGTCGGAGTACAGAACATCCATTGTATAAGTAGTACTGTTATTGATGATGATTAAATAATTCGTTGTTTGAGTGCGCTCTTTAGAACGAACTTGTATTACGATAGTATGGAATCCCGTCATGTGAGCTTCCACATTGAATGTTGCGTGATGAACTGGCACGTCTAGTTGATACCGGTGGCGTTGGGGTTCATTTTGAGGTAGAGTAATCGGTTTATTAGGATCAGAAAGCTCAGTGAAAATTGGTGTTCCATCCTCTTTATTCCACGAGAATAGTTGAAGTCGAATCTGTCGTGTCCATCCGGAGCCATTGTATGCTGCTGTATGGAAAACAAGCCAATTATCACTAGTCAAACTCCCATGACCTGGCCCGAACAAACCATTTTCACTTTTAAGAAGAGGTTCAGAACGTTTTTTCCACGATGCTGGATCCATCAGATTGGCTTCGATATGAGCAGTGATTAAACCCATACAATAATCATTTGTCCAGCTTCCAGAAGCCGAAAATACAAGGTTAATAGTTTGATTGTAAATAATCACTTCGGGTCCTTCGTTGACATGTGGAGAATGGTTAGTTTCCCATGCAAACGTAGGCCTAGCGATTTCTACACGTTTGGAGTCAATTGTATACGGATTTGACATATGAGCTATGTAAAGAATCTTACAAAATAGGTCAGCTAATATATACAAACAACAAAAGCAATGGAAACTTACTTGCATGACATCAACATCTCCTTCCCATCCAGACCATATGGAATACAACTCCTTTGTCAGTGGATGTTCGAATACCGTTCCATCAATTGCCCATTTATTGGTCACATCTGTTAATTGTCCTCGAAACTGAAATTCACCTTGAAATGGATCTTCATTTTCATTTTCCAAGACGAACATGCGATGATTAGCATTGTTTCCATCACAGGTTGTTGCAGCAAAATAAACATACCATTTTTGTTGAATAAGGTNTAACGCTTGTCGAATTTTTTGACTACGAATTTCGATAACATAGGCATCACGCAACGCGCGATCCTGAGGTTTATCTTTCAACGTTGGCGTGGTAAATCCGCAATAACGCAATTTGTCACAAAGTTCTTCTTTCCATTCGGCAAACGATTGACCAACTTTCTGATGACACGAATAAAAATCATAAGTGGACGTCATGATATTCTTCTTTGTATCGTAATGAGTGTCTAGCGTTGTAAGAATATCAACCCAAGTAACCGTGTCATCTGTCGATGATTTCGGCGAAATTAACGATTGAAGCAAATGATACGTCGCATCACCTACAGACCACAAAAACAAAGATTTCTTGTCATCATCGTGATCTGTCTGGTTGGCCTTGAAGTAAAAACACATGCGATCTCTATAACGTTCCCAAGTGGTCGTCCGAGGATCAAATGCATGCAAGGCCGGAATCCTGGAATGAATCGACGGACCGATGGAAGACGACGTCGATGTCGTCGGCGTAGTTGTCGACGAAGATTTGGTCTTATCGGTCATTGTTGGTGTTCAGCAGCGTAAACACCACAAACGGCAAATCCGAAGAAAACGAGCCGAAGGAGAAAAGCAGGAAGTAATAACCTCGTCGCCAATGTAAATCTGTGCAGATTTGCTTGAAGGAAACGCGTTTCACACTGTAGATAGTTCAATGTACACACCTGTTGATTGTAAACTATTGCACCATTGCTGAAAGCGATTGTTATGTAAAGACAAAATCGATTTTATGAATCCATCCTGAAATACAGTTCAATCATTATTTTTGGACCAAATACCGCCCATTTCACACAATTGCGTATATTTATAAATAAACTACCGCTTGTGATTGTAAACTATTCTAATTGTATTTTTCATTATTAGATAAGCATTCGTTAAGTCAATGGGCTTATACAACGACGTTGCATACAAACAGTCCAACGTATATAAACAATAGTGAGACTAACTATTATAGTTTTTGTGTTCAAAGTGGCGTCGGTATATGCAGTTATATATATACGAGAATAGTTTTGATCCAGGCAATCTATCTATCAAGCAGATTTTGAAGAAGTATAATAGCATCTGCGATAATAATCAGTCCCAATCGCATGTTCAACTTTGGTTCAACAAAAACTATACGTTGCTTGCAGCTACTGGTGTTTTGAAGAGGAGAATGTCAGGACTTTCGTCATTGGATTTTGTCCAAGCACAACTATTTTGAAGCATCTTCGTAAGTATATAGTATAGTTTTTGCTCGATCAGACTACTCGCCAAATAGATTGTTTATCCGGTATCAAATCGACATGCTTAACAATCGCCTGATAGATATACTCATCAAAATGAAACACACGTATTCCAATGTTTTCGTCATGAAGCTTTGCTAATTGACATTGTTACCGGTGGATAGTAATATTTATACATGTCACCATCTTTATAAAGACAGCTTCAATTTAGTGAATCAGTTTGAAAAGACTCTTTTGAAGAACGATGAAAGTTATTATAAGAACTTCTCTAAACCTCGAATTCATCTCGAAAATAGTACTAAATATTTATTGGCCATGAGATCTGCTATTATTTATTACCGCTGCGTTCATTCATGAACCGGTACATAGTGAGATAGAAGAAAAGAACGACAACAACGAAATGCAATTGTGATCTTTAACTCATTGTTCTATTTGGCTGATAAACTAGAATACTACCATCCTATTATTTCATCGATCTATTTTGGGTTTTGTTCAATATTTTTGCTAGGACTCATCGCTGAGTAACTATACTCGACAAATCTCAGTACCTATTTTATCTTCCTTATTCCATCACTGTTGAGTCTTATATGATTTGTTCTTTTTTTGACGGTATACTAGAATACACCTCGAAAATCGCTTACGCGATGTTGTTGACGCTCGACTTACCATTAAACAATCACCTCCATATCATAATCGAAAGAGAAATATTCGCGCATTATCCTATCTCTTAGACGCTATTCGATGACGTGGAATAATCTATTCTAGATTGATCGAAACAGCCAACACGTCAACATATTTTTGCTTTGTAGTCGTCATAACTATTCATTAATGAAGGGCAATACGAAAATTAATATCGTAATAAACCTACGTCATCACACTATATACAGAACATGAGTCACTTTTCTACTTGTTGTTCTACGCATTTGGGTATGTCATACAAGGACATATGTATTTAGTATAAAAAGACTGAATAAATTTTGTTCGATTTATACATTGTCTCAAACGTTCTACTCACTAATTCAAATATGTACGGTTTAAACGCTTATCGCAATCCAGCTGTAATGAACGAATTACTCTCGGATTTATGGATTGAACAAAATGTTCNTCATTATCGATTGAAGGTATTCCAATTGAATCAAAACAATTCGTTTCCAAAGCGAATAATCTCGAAAATCAAACGGTCTTTGTTCGACGTTGGGCAAATGAATCACCACATGAATGTCGCGTTATTCAAGGTGATGATCTCCTTGTACAGGATCTCCAGACGAAAAGATATTTTCATGCGCAGCGAAATGAACTCGAGTATGTGACAACACCTGAACAAGTGGGTACAGAAGTGTTGTATGTGCTAAAAGAACAGGGCAAAGCCACGTTGAGTTATCGAATTCGTGGCATTTCCTGGTCAGTACAGTATGAATTGAATATTTTGTCGGATGATTGTCAACATACATTCCAAGCATTTGCTGAAATTGTCAACGGAACAAAGCAGGAGTACAAGATCGATCGCGTCGAAATGCTCGGTGGTGATGTAGTTATACAACGCGAAAGTGGACTGAAACGGCGGCGTTCTCGATCTCGATCTCGATCCCGTTCTCGAAGTCGAAGTGACACCGATGATGACGCCGAAGAAGATGAAGACTTTAATTCCTGTACTCCGACACCAGGTATTGAGAGTGAGGGCGAATTAGGAGGTATGTTACATTGATTTGACTTTTATTTGACGTGATTTCATTGTATTTTGAAAGGTTTACATCTTTATTCAATCGATCAACCATTTGTTCTTTTACCAAAAGCAACACTCTGTTTGCCGTTCATCGATGCAACTATGCAAATCAGTAAATGTTTAGGCCTATCACTTCAATTTACAACTTATACACAAATACGAAAATTACAACGAAAATATCGCATTGAATCCATGGATAAATTTTTACCCGGTGGATTATTAACTATTCGAGAACAAGGACGGCTAATAGGAACAACAACTTTACCTGAAATGTCTATAGGCGACAAACATACTTTCAATTCAGGACAAGATTCTGACGTGAGTTGATTTTTGTCTTTCAATCTATTTACAGCCATTTGGTTTTTCAGGTTTCATTAAATCGACAGGTAAAGTTAATTTCCAAAGAAAGACATTCGGCTGTCTATTCTGTCCATTTAACATTCAAAAACGTCAAATCTACACCGGTGAAATTTGAATATGAAGAAATTGTTGACAATGACAATGTACACTTCAAAGTTATTCCGAAAGGAAGCGATGATCAACGAAGTCAAATTCAAGTGACAGCCAATGGAATCGAGATAAAAAACAACACGAATAATACTCTAGCAGCAAATGGTGGCGAACAAGCCTACGAGTATGAAGTTCATATTCATTACATTAAAAGAAGCAATTCATATAAGAAAAACTCACGAAGAATTTAAGAAAATGTTTTACTGTTTTCAATCGATCATATTTCAGATGTACATGTGGCGAAAATAAAAGTTAACATTTCCCATTATCCCTAAAATGAAAACGTCTCGAACACTTACTAGAAAAAAGATGTCAGCTGACTATTCTTATAGCGTTTCTGTCTCTCACCATGGAAATGATAGATTAACTTGTTGAAGATTGGCAAGCAAAGACGATTTTTAAAGCATCTTATATTCATTTTCCTATTTCATTCAAAGCAACACTCGCTCAGATTGCATCAGAGGTGAATTCAGCTTTACAAGAAGCTCATACATCTATGGATCGCATTCAAAAACGTACTCAAACTTGTTAACTACTACCGAATCCCTATGAATTCGGACAAATGAAACTGTCAATCCTTTGAACTCAGTAACGAATGTGTTTGGAAAGATATCAATTAGATTTGAGCGAGAAGAACTAGTAGTCAGTCATCAGTGACAATTCGGAGCACACAAATGCCATCGATGAAGCTAATTTAGCGTTACAATGATTACGTAATTCCGAAGAAATTGCTGCAATTCTTGAATTCACAGTTAGATGGACTAGATTAGTACAACTTTTCTCCAAAGCTTTCGTTCAAGCCGATTCGACACGGTAGGTAAATAGGCATATCTGACGGATAAACATATTGCTATTTCGAATTATTCAAAATAGATCGTGGTTGCCGAGTTCATTGGTGCCATCAAACCATTATCACAAGCTGATCATGATATGTGCTTACTATATGCTATGGGAAGCACTTATTACCGACGAAGAACATTTATTCTTAGTATCACTTTCTCGGCTATAAATAAAATAGCATTCTATGTGGCTAGATGATATTGTAGTTCTTTTACCTTTACATTATAGATTTAAGAAGAAACTAATTTATTCTCTTTGAAGGAATCCTGTTTCATACAAAATAAGTGACGTTTAAAGTCATAAAAGAAGTTTTTTTTTCTTCTCTCTCCTTATCGACAAAAGAGCGATACGTATGAAATATACAGTCTGAGTCATCAAGAATGAGTATTCTTTTGCATTCGATTATTCATTCATTCTCTTAACAACATATTGACAGTGTCACAAACATATATTTTTCGTCTTTACAAATGGCAATAACTGCGGCATCCATTTGGGACTGGTCCTTACCAGTTTTACCATTCACATCAATTATAACACTGATTGTTGCCTTATTTGCAGACCGTTTACTTGACAGTCAGGGTATGATGGATAGACCATTCTTTGAAATACCGATAGCACGTCGATCTTCGACACACGTCTGTTTCTTGGTTGGGATCTTTCTGTTACTGCCTCAAATAATAGCCATTATCATCGGGCGATTTCAATTTCTAGTGAAAACTCAATCAATGATTAATCGAATAATCTTATCTATCTTTCACGTTTCAACTCTTATACCATTGGTGTTCTTCCTTCTCGTAGCCATAGTAAAGCGAAGTCGCCATTCGGATGGATATCAAATGGGTGTCTATGGAATATTCACATCGATTTCATTATATTGCTTTTTACATACGATTCTAATTTGTTATTTATATATACGACGATCGAACGCGCCGCAACATGAGAAAGTGATTTGGCCAATATGGTTTTTGAGTTGTTGTGTACTACTCATTATTTTTTATAGCATTTGGATTCACTCGCACAGCGGTATTGCAGAATTTATTGTTGTCTTTTGTCCGTTTATCTATTTTTTGGGCTTTGTGCATCAATTCTGGCTACAAGCAAGGGCAAGACAACGCTATTCTGCCGTAACGAGAATAATAACACTCACTGACATCTAGCATACTAACCGATAAACTTTTTTTACACACGTAATTGCACAACACAATTGTAAGAATAAGAAATAAAAAGATATATCAGAGCACATACAATAAGATGAATGTTGAATTTAATAATAACGACAGAAAATGGCTCCTTCTCTAAGAAAACGAGGCAATCCAAAACAAATTAAAAGACACGCACCCTATCGTAAACTTATAATTCCGGCTGTTCAATTTTGGAATCCAAAAAATAAAGCAAGTCAAGCAACAAGTATACTCCGTATCATTAATTGGATACAGCGTTTTGGCAACTGTGGCAGTGGACCTCATTCCAAATTCGGCCGAAAGTGTATACGACGAGCTATATTTCAAAACGTTCGCTCTGGTTTATTGAAACGAAGAAAAGGATCTTTTCTCCTCGTGAAAAAAAATCAGATATTAAAATAAAATTTTAATGATCGTGACGATTACACGAAAAAAATTGTATACAAATTGAGTTACTTTGATCTGAATCCGCATCCATGACAACAGAAAATAAGCAATGCAGTTGATAGAATCCCACTACTACCAGCCACCAGTGACAAAATAGTTAAAAATTCCGAACGTTCACATTTAACTGGTTTGTGAATGTAATGTATAGCAAAGCTAATTTGTGCTATACAAATACCGATGGTAATGGCAGAGACGAGACCGAGAATAATAGTTCGACAACACATACTTGCTTTTGTCAGAAGTAGAGATCTTACGAGGTAGAAAAAAATGCCTTATCTTCAGTGTAGATAAGCGTGCAATGATTAAGAACTTAAAAAGGCAAAGACTGCGAATAAATTTTCTCATGTAGTTCAATTCGAAACATTTATTCATCATGTAAAACAAAAATCAAAATACAAACAGAGCAACATACACAGCAACATGTGAAGCCTATACTTGAATAGAATAAAAGAAGCATAGCAAAAACAAAATTAAACATATGCTTTTCACAATAAGTATTCAATGCCGTCGGATCCGTGAATTGAACAGACGCTTTGACTTTGAAAACCCATACACTTCCCTAATTAATACTCCATCATATTCAATATATATTCAATTATAATATTTTACTCACTACGATTATCCAAGCAATGCCAAACAGTACCATGATTGTGTTGACTGCGCGCACGCAGAGATCACATTTTTTTTCGGCATCTTCCTTTGAACAACACAGACATCTAATGACAGCCCCGACAATCGTGAATAAGCTAGTTATAACACCAAATCCACCATAGACGATTAGCCACATGGGAATCTTTGTCTGTATTGGACACTGAGATCTTCTCTCTAAGCCAACCCACAAAGCAGCAATTGATAAACTGGACATCACTACTGTGAACACTATTTGAAATATAGTTTTATACACAGTGGTGATGTGCTTGTTGAAACTCTGAGCAAGGTTCCGGACACCTCTTGCCATGTGAAGCTTTCAAATCGTTGTAAAACAGATGTGATATAATTCTGAGTGGAGAAATCACTTTCAGCTGCTTTTCGTCCTATACCGTTCTGCAGCTGAAACCGTTTTGATTCATGGAAGATAAAATTCTTAACAGCACTTGTTTTTTGCATTAAAAAGCTCTTGACTCGTCAAGATAAGATTTCTTGGAAAGGAATGTAAAATTTATTTTTTCGTATTTTACGATATATTGGAGAATATTGCAAACGCATTAAACTTGTGATAAAGCAAGCAGTAATCATCATATACGGATTGTTTTGTAGTATGGGCAACGGAGTCTCAAACAGAAATAAGGACGTTCAAGTCGGTAAGGCAAGTGAATTTTATTGGGCATGTCGCAATGGTGATTATCAAAGAGTGAAACATTTGATTGCAAATTTAAATTACGAACAATGGAGTCAAATTGAACCGAATGGAAGTACAGCACTGCACGCTGCTACTCACAATGGTCATCGCGAAATTGTCAAATTACTTCTCGAACACGGTTGTTCTCGTACAACTTTGAATCGATATGGCCATACTGCTTATGATGAAGCTAAAACGGAACAAATGCGTGCTATTTTCCATCGACCTACGTCTCAGCGATTTGTTGACGCAGAACCTACTCAGTCATTCGGATTGTTATCCAAAACAGATGACGACGTGCCGGATGATTGGGTCAAAGGTTATGCGAGCAGGAGTGGTGCACGTGAAGCGAATTTAATGCATGCAATAGCACAAGCTCCATTATTAATGAGAAAAGTACTACGAACTCGATTAGAAGAAGAGTGTAAAGAAGAACTGGAGAGTTTTCTCGAGAAAACAGTAGGAACACGCCATCCTGCCCGTGCTGGTGTGATCAAACATTTCAACATATATAAGCAGCAAAAATCAGTAGAGTCCTTATTTACATTATACACCATGGAAACACCATTCTATGGAGCATTGCAGAATGATTGTGAAGCGTTTACTGCTTTGCTTTATATGCATTTGTCAGCTTTAAAAGAGCGTGCTTACCAAGGCATTGCTTATCGGGGTGCTCAAATGACACGGGATGATATTCGAGCATACCAGTGGACACTTGCACAACGTGGACGCGTGCTCGAAACGCGTACTATTCAATCAATGTCGAAAAGTAAGGACATAGCACTGGGTTTTGCAAGGAACACGCGGAAATCAAAGCCATTTTCAGTTTTACTAATATACGATTTTCCTGAAGTTTGCCGAACAGCGATTGATCTAGCCAAGATATCTGAATTTCAAGACGAAAAAGAAGTCACTCTGCTACCGTTCACTTTATTCAGAGTCTCGAACATAACAGTCGATACAAATGACGACGTACCTTATCGAATCACATTACAAAACATTCCAGTAGAGAAAAAGTCCGTTGTAGGAGCTCTGTTGGGTATGAGTTGATTCAATCAATAAATGCCGTTTACGAAAGGCTGGAAAAACACTTTCTTGTTATTATATTTATTGAAAATGTATTAAAAAGGATAGACAAAATACTAAGATAGATAGTCCCGTAGCATGAGATCTATTGTTGCTTGTGGAAACTAAATCTAATGAATATATCTCACCTGGTGTAGCTCCAATGTTCGTAAGATCAATCGTATTTTGTCCACTTTGTAATTGCACAGAAACTAAAATTGAACTCCAATTATCGGAGTATAGAACATCCATTGTATAAGTAGTACTGTTATTGATTGTAATTAAATAATTCGTTGTTTGAGTGCGCTCTTTCGAGCGAACTTGTATTACAATAGTATGGAATCCCGTCATGTGCGCTTCTACATTGAATGTTGCGTGATGAACTGGCAAGTCTAGTTGATACCGGTGACGTTGGGGTTCATTTTGAGGTAGAGTAATCGGTTTGTTAGGATCAGAAAGCTCAGTGAAAATTGGTGTTCCATCCTCTTTATTCCACGAGAATAGTTGAAGTCGAATTTGTCGTGTCCATCCGGAGCCATTGTATGCGGCTGTATGAAAAACAAGCCAATTATCACTAGTCAAACTTCCGTGACCTGGACCGAACAAACCATTTTCACTTTTGAGAAGAGGTTCAGAACGTTTTTTCCACGATACCGGATCCATTAGATTGGCGTTGATATGAGCAGTGATTAAACCTATACAATAATCATTTGTCCAACTCCCAGAAGCCGAAAATACAAGGTTAATAGTTTGATTGTAAATTATCACTTCGGGTCCTTCGTTGACATGTGGAGAATGATTAGTTTCCCATGCAAACGTAGGCCTAGCGATTTCTACACGTTTGGAGTCGATAGTATACGGATTCGACATATGAGCTATGTAAAGAATCTTACAAAACAGATCAGCTAATGTATACAAACAACGAAAACAATGGAAACTTACTTGCATGACATCAATATCTCCTTCCCATCCAGACCATATGGAATACAACTCCTTTGTCAATGGATGTTCGAATACTGTCCCGTCAATTGCCCATTTATTGGTCTCATCTGTTAATTGCCCTCGAAATTGAAATTCACCTTGAAATGGATCTTCATTTTCATTTTCCAAGACGAACATGCGATGATTAGCATTGTTTCCATCACAGGTTGTTGCAGCAAAATAAACATACCATTTTTGTTGAATAAGGTGAAGTTCCGGCGCCCAAACATCGCGACATGCTGTCGTATTGTTGGGTAACCAGATTACTTTCGATTGTCCGATGTCCAATGTAGACAAGTAACGTGATCGCCAAATGGTGACATTGGTCTGAGTAGATTTCGTTGCATAGTAAAATCCATTCGTAGGATGTTTATAAACCCATGGATCAGCACCATCCTGAGAGAGAAAGGGATAGAATGTGTTCACTGCAGCGTAGTTATTGATCGATTTCGAAAACCTCAAAGCTAAAGTCATCAAGTAGAAAAACAACAGTGCACGTGTCATTCTTGTTGTAAAATTTCAGATTCTGATCTTGATATTTATCTTTTTTTACAATTCTCTCGTCGTCAACTGATAACATTCTTTCAAAAATCGTAAAAGTCATCAAATACAGGAGGAAAATGTAGATCTAATCCAAATATCGTCGTTTTTTTTATCAGAAGTGTGTGTTATATTCTCACACATGCATCGTGTGCAAATCCGTATCTTTCCAGTTCTTATCGGATCAAAACGAATATGTACGTCGTGAAAATGTCATATCAATTTTTTTTCTTTCGTTTGCGACAGAATGAGATCATCTACATTGAGTGTCTTTGATTATGTCGTTCTGGTAGTTCTATTACTGCTATCAGCTTTCATTGGTATCGTCTTTGGTTTTGTTAAATCAAAGAAAGCATCGTCTGAAGAGTTTTTCTTAGGTATATACATACAGAACTAGTCGAAAACGAAATAATTTCTATTGACTTTCGTTTCTAGCCGATGGAAAAATGCACGTGTTTCCGACGGCACTAAGTATTACGGTGTCGTTTCTATCAGCTATTACTATACTTGGCACACCGAGTGAAGTATACATGTCAGGAACAATGTTTTGGTATCAAGGTAGATGAATAAAAAACAATGATCGACGATAATTTTTATCATGATAATGTTGGTTTTTTAGCTGCTGCATGGAGTATTGCATCGATGATAACAGCTTTTGTTTTCATGCCAAAGTTTCGCGAAATGAAATTCACCAGCATTTATCAGTATTTAGAGAAGCGTTTTGATCAATCAGTACGAACGTGCGCTTCTATTACTTTCACGGTCTATATGGTATCGAAAAATTTTGCCTCATGTACATGCACGTTCCACATAGTCTTATTGACTATTTAGTTTATCTACATGGCGTTAGTCCTGTACGCACCGGCACTGGCGCTGAGCCAAAGTATGCTCATGAATTAATATTGTATCATTATTTCTAAGACTAACGTAATTTAGCTACGGGTCTGAATAAATGGCTTTCGGTGGTATCTATCAGTGTCGTTTGTACTTTTTATTCATCAGTGGTATGTGATCAATAGAGGAAAAGAAAGATATTGCTATATCCGTCTATGTTCAGGGAGGGATGAAAGCAATTATTTGGACGGATGTCTTACAAGCATTGGTTATGTATGCGGGTATTTTTATCGGTGTTATACAAGGCTTAATTTTAGTCGGTGGCTTCGAGCGAGCATTTTCAATTGCACATCAAGGTCATCGTATTGAGTTTGACAAGTACGACAAAGTCGTTCTGATTTACGAAGAAGAAGTTGAATTATTTTCTTTTCTAGTATAAGTTTTGATCCACGAACACGCCATACTGTTTGGTCACTTTTAGTTGGTAATTCTTTCAATGCACTGTTAACATATGGCTTCAATCAAATGCAGGTACAACGATATATGTGTGTTCAATCAACGCGAGAAGCACAAAAGGCTCTGCTTGTCAACATAGTTGGTGTCACTAGTCTCATTCTTCTTTCATGTTTAATGGGTGTTATCCTGTATGCCTACTATGCCGGCTGTGATCCGTACACAGCTGGTCGTATTCAAAATGTTGATCAACTTTTGCCCTATTTTATTATGGAAACAGTCGGACACAAGAAAGGTGTACCAGGTTTGTTCCTTGCTTGCGCATTTTCCGGTTCGCTTTCCACCATTTCATCGGGACTCAATAGTATGGCAGCAGTGATGATTGAAGATGTTTATAAAGGAGTTATGCGACGAAACTTGAGCAGAGAGCATCAAGGTTTTGTATCGAAAATCGTTTCCATGTGCATTGGCCTGGTTATCGTACTACTTACATACTTTGTGAGCCATCTGGGTTCTGTTATCAATGCTGCGATATCATTATCGAGTACTCTTTGTGGACCAATCATGGGTGTCTTCTTTCTTGGATTTTTCTTTTCCAGGGCAAATCGATTAGGTGCACTGGTTGGATTTTTTGTTAGTTTAGTCTTCCAATTGTGGATCTTTATTGGTGTACAAGTAACAAAGCATCAATTGAGCAATCATCGATTACCATTATCAATACTCAATTGTACAGATATTGGTACATTACCTATGTTAAACAGGACTACATCAATACCTAGACACGTAGAGTGGGTATTGAAATAAATTTATTTTTTACTCTAAAATAATCTACTATGCTCTAGATCTAATGTATTACTCAGTCTTTACTCGATCAGTCATATGTGGTACACGCCTATTGCTGTCGGTACTGTAGTTATTGTTGGCATTATCGTATCCTATCTCTTTCATCCATTAAAACCAAATGAAATTGATTCAAAATTAATTATTCGGATACATGATATACGCGCGTATTGTCGTTGGTCCAAGAAAGAACAAAAATCCAACAATTGTGTCGTTTTCAATGCTGCTGACGATAGACAAGATATGTTACTGTTCTAGTTTTAATCTTTCATCGATTCTGTAAATGTTTTACGCCCGAAGATAGATACATATCAAGGATAGAACGGGAAAAAAAGTAATTTCTTCCATCCTCACTAACCATCTGCTTACAATCAGTATTCAAGTTTGAGTTTCTTTCATGCTCACAATAGAGATTGGTTGAGGGCGAGGATGTTAGTGTGATTTCGTGTTGTGCAGCATTATGGAATAAGATGATATTCTTCATATCATGATTCTTATATAAAAGAGTATACGCACCGCTTCCCTTTACCATCATTAACTTTTTCAAACTTGACTTTATTGCCGTTTGTAGTCGCTTCTATGTTTCGCTAGATATAATTCAGTAGCACGCAACATGGCGACGAGCTATTGTGTGATGAGACTACGTGCTGAGGAATGAGACGATATTCGGCACAAACGTATGCCAGACACTTGTTAGGTTATCTAACTTTCGCACACAGGGAAACATGAATCTGTTAGCCTCTGGAGTGCCATTTACAACTAACTATTTCAACACTCATTTGGATTAAAACTACATTTGATAACTTACAACTATTGGCCAACCGCCAACAAAAAACATATTTTAGTTGTCAGCATTAGTTGTCCTCGTTTTATGAGTATGTTTTAAATCATAAACCGTTTAACCAACACGACAGTTCATTATGATTTTGTTCTTCCTTTGTGTATTGCACACAAGCGTATTGTCGAACATGAGTGTTCGAAAAGTCCGCTCCTTTGTAAAAAAAATCGTTTTAACAGTTCGTTGTTTCGAGCGTGTTAATGTTTAGATCATATTTCGATTATCTCTCCCTCACACTAACATTGATATTCATCCAATGTTTAGTGGAGGGTCACAAGTAGATCGCATCCACATACATAGTTGCGATAACTGTTTATAGAAGAAATGCCAGCGCATGTAGTAACACTAGGAAGATTATATGCGTGTGTTTTGGCATGCTTATCAATTGTTTTCTTAAGAGAAATTGTATCGAACGGATTAATCTATCGAGATGGGTACGAGGCGAAAAGATACCGCAGGACGATGATTCCAGAAGCAGTATTCCACTGATATCCGACGAAAACCTGCAGGAAATCTATTATTTTCCCGCTGGATACGCCCGGAAAACTCTGGATTCGTCGACCTGGGACTTTGTTCCAATTCGCCTCACAAAATAACTGACTATCTACGCTATGATTATATCGGTGCACCATGGCCTCATCTCATACAATCGAAAGGTCTTGAACATCTGGTTGGTAATGGGAGATTTTCGTTGCATAGCCGTTCCGTATGCAGTAGTGTCAAACTTGAAAGCTGAATTCAAGTATTGAACTATTCAAGTATACCACTATTTTCGCACCCGCTCCACACCCTCACTTATTTGCTGCGCCCTCCTTACCCATCCCGCATCCTAATCTTGATGTTGAATAGTTGAATTTAAAGTTTCAAGTTATACATGTATGAATATATGAGTCTTGTAGCTTAGTTTTTCGGGCCCGAAACATGCCTCATTGTCACTCCTCCTTTATTCAAATACGCTGTTGTTTATTTGCAGATTGGTGTTCAAGTTATGAATCGACAGATGCAACATTTAATATGTTTTATATGTGCGATGATAATTACAGTCATATATTTAATACACAGAGAAAGAATCTTTAAGTTTATGTGCAGCTATAATACGAATAATTTTACCTTCTTAAACTTATACAAATTCAACAAAGATAATGGTTTAACGGGTGGATCTTTTCAAAGTTTAATAAAAAAACAATAGAAATGGTTCGCTAGAATTAATAAATATCGCTTTGAGCTCACCGTGGCTTTTCCCAAAATCACGAATTCTTTTCCCATACCTAGGATTGCATAACGATTTAGATGCTTTACTGTATGTTTTGGCGTATAAATCGAAAAAAATTACCATTCTGGGATTTAATTGGCAATGGCAAGCTATGGTGCAAAATAATATTTTTTCTCTAGTCAGATTTGCTCGAACATCCAATTATATAATCACTGCTGGTGATGAATTAACATTATCTGTTTGTATAGAATTGAATCTTCCTTGCTATAATGCAACGTCATACATGTTGAAATCTGGGGAAAATGTGTCTACGACAACTGAAGGTAACTTTAATGATCCATATTATTTAGCTATGGTGTGGTATCTACTTCCTCTTTATTTGGATATTATTCGAAAAGGATTTACAATAATGAAAAGTGATATAGATATTAGCTATGCCGGAAAAGATATTTGGAACAGTTGTGAATTAATGGCTCAAAAAACGAAAGCTGATATTGTATTCATGAAGGAAGATCCCATCAATACAGGACATTTTTATGCAGTTCCGAACGAGAGAGTTATTTTTTTCTTCCAAGAATGGATATCTGCAGAAAGTTCTTTTAAAGCACTGAATGATCAACAAGCATTGTCACATTTAAATAGAAAAACATATAAAATTTGTGATTCCGCAGATGCATGTACTCGCGTAAAAACATTGCCAATAAGTCATAGTTATAATAAACACCGTACTAACATGACAAACAATAAAATGGTTGCTGTATCAACGTATCCATCATCCTTTGCTCGATTCGGAAGTATATGCCCTCCAGATAAAATCCTTAATCCATGTGATCAAGATGTTCTGTATGTACACACAATCTGTATGTCAGGTTTTTGCTAGTAAAATGAACAAATTGAAACAACTTGGATTTTGGTTTATGCAAGAGTCTTGTGCTGAGACGAAGCTTGATAATCCTCTTCAATCATTCGTTGTGTTCCAATACCACGCGTGTCACCATCTATTGAGAATAGCTTCTTAAATTGTAACGCCTCAAAATAACTTATCCATGGATAAACATTTGCATCTCGGAGGACAAGGGTGTGGGTGAGGGTGACAGTATACATGGGGTTTAGAGTGCACTCCTCCTCGGGGTCAAAAATCAAAAAGATTTTCAAAATCTCACAAAAATTAAAAGAAATATCCTGTTAGCGATGACGAGTGTCCTCGCTACTACTTCTCTCTCTTCCTCTCTTTCACCTCACGTATGAATACAGTTCTCTTCTCTTTCGTTTGTTTTTTGCGAGAAAGAATGCCATCTTCGATACCCATTCTTCCCTTTTTGTTCTTTTCGATATTCTTCACTCCAGATTCCTGCAGACGAACATACATACTCCTAGGTAGGTGATCACAGGTGATCGAAACATCACGGAGTTAAAGTTCAAAGGCAAAAGAAATATTTTCCCCAATCATTTAAGAAACCAAGCTGTGTCGTTGAGGAGGGATACATTATTTAGATTTTATAAAAGGGTCCTATCGCATGTTCCCCTCCAATCTCCCTAGAAGTATGGTAGAGAGGCGATAATGTACCATTGATGTCTTGATTACTTACTGGTGTCCACGGCTGGAATAAATTGTATCTAATGACAAAATAGATCAAATATTTCGGGAATATGTCCGCCTACATTTCGAAAGTTAAATAACATTCTCTTTGGAAAAGTGTTCAAGATAATGTTCGTCCTCACCTACCACGTGGAATCGAATCGTGCGCTCCTGGTCCCATTCCTCAAGGAAGTATTCAAGGATCTTCGTTTATAGGCTGCGAAATTGGCATGTTAATCTGAGAGATTTGGATAGCAAGAGGGCATGGCAAATCTCGAATTGTAAACAGTTTTCAGCAAATTTCTACTTCTGATTTCTGTATATTCCGTAGAAATCTACTCTCACACCCACATCCTACTAACACTAGCAATCAGAAGTTTACTTTCTGATATAAAATTGTAAAATTCTTCTATATAATGATGAGAATTCATCATATTCATATAAGAGTGTCATTGGTAAATACCAAAGTAGAAGTCAGAAATCTACTGTAATACCTCTATCAATTGTGACAGCAGAAAAGTAGAAATCAGAAATCTACTTCTCTATTTTCATCCACATATGCACTACCACCCGCACCCTCACCCTTACTCTAAGTTACTGCCATGAAAATTTTCACGAATACATGAAAATAAATTTCTGACTTTTGCTTTTCTGATGAGATATAAAATGATGCCTAACGCTGATTGTAGTAATCCAAATTTCCGTAAATATTTCTAAATTATAGAAGTTTTCAAGATTTAAAATTCTAAATCATTTTGACATGCGGACTTTAAAATTGGTATCAATTTTATATTTGCCACCCTATGAGATAAAAGAGGTTCATCGGTTCTTTCGTATGTTTTTTTATCTGTTCCAACATGTTTGTAATACATTGGATTGCAATACATATTCAACAATTCATTTTCTAGCACTTCCTGATCATTGTAAGTTACAATCCATCTTACCATTGGAAATGAACAGGGAAATATTGCGACCATGGGTAATGATATGGAGCATTCGTGCACAGTGCTCAAAAAATTCTCGTTGAATTTATCAAGAACAACTTTCCATTAGTAAAAAAGATCAATTAGGTTAGGTAAACCGTGTTTTTCATGTAGCTTGTGTGGTATGTTGACTCTCTTCTTCCGTTTAGTGATAGAGCATGTGTCCATTTCCAGAATAACGCTAGCATCTTCAAACTGATTCATCACAAGAGGAATTTTGGTTCAGATGATTCATGACGTAGGATACCTTCGGGCACGATTCGATATTTTCTTGAGCCGATTCGTTTCAGCGTAGGTTCCAATCAAACCAACACTGGTTCGAAGTACAACTTGATGAGCTCTATCGGTTCCAAAAATAAAGTTTCCAAAAAAGTTCTTTCCACACACTCAAAAATTGGATCAGTTCTCATGGATGCACCTAAAGGATGCTTGCCAGTAAGTGGTTCGAATTGTCAGTGAGCAATTGAAACGAATCGAAAACTTTTTGGTGGATATGACAATATTTTATTGAGAGAAGACAAACACAACCTATTGAATATTCATCATCCTTTATACAGGATTCGGAATACGCAGTAAGACACACAAAACGCACGATACAGTCCTTTTGGATTATCGGAATAAATGTAAGAGGTGAGAAGAAAGTACAAATATATATATATATATATGATAGATGAGGACATATCACAGTACAAATACATAAGAATAAGAGAAGGTATGGCGCATCGTCACAATTACCACTGCTGTTACTGCTACTAGTATAGCCCCTAGTGTTGCCGGCGCTTGGTGCTGCTGCGTGTGGTGATCGTGCTTGCGGTCTTTGTGCTGCTGCTGCTGCTGCTGACACCAACAGTTGAATCTACTTTCAAAGTTACAGTTCCTATCAATCCACCGCTGATACCCTTTGCTTGATTCACATATGCTAATGTGACTAAGGAATCAACACCATCTTGTTGTGTATAAACACGATCAACACTATTTAGCGTACGTGTTACTGTGTTTGAACTATAAGGTGAAATCGCTTGAACTAATGTTGTATAACTGTCATNCCTCTTGGTCAAGCATTGGACAACATGATGGGTGGAAATCCTAATCCAACATTTGGTCAAAGATACAATAATATGACTGGTTATGGATATAATACTTATTATCGTCCTGCTTATGGCTATCAATATTTACGCTAAAAAGCTCTAAATAAGACTTATGATCTAACTAATTGATCTATGTATCTATTGAAAATTTTCTTTTGTGAATAATAAATTGACTACATTTCGAATCATATCTTTGTCTCGTTGTTTGAGAAAGAAAATAGGAGCACACCAAAATCAGATGATATATTTAAATACTGCCTGACGAGAAGGTGTACAAAGTTTGACAATAGACATTAACATTCGTTTTCAAAAGAGAAAATACATTCGCCATCAATTTGGCGAAATCGCTTCCAGTCGCGTTTCAATACTTTGAGGGCGTGGCAAATCCTGAATTGTAAACAGTTTTCAGCAAATTTCTACCTCTGATTTCTGCATATTCCGTAGAAATCTACTCTCACACCCACACCCTATTAACACTAGCAATCAGAAGTTTACTTTCTGATATAAAATTTTAAAATTATTCTATATAATGATGATAATTCATCATATTCATATAAGAGTGTCATTGGTAAATACCAAAGTAGAAGTCAGAAATCTACTTCTCTATTTTCATCCACATCTGCACTACCACCCGCACCCTCACCCTTACTTTAAGTTATTACCATGAAAATTTTCACAAATACATAAGAATAAATTTCTGACTTTTGCTTTTCTGATGAGATATAAAATGATGCCTAACGCTGATTGTAGCAATCCAAATTTCCGTAAATATTTCTAAATTATAGAAGTTTTCAAGATTTAAAATTCTAAATCATTTTGACATGCGGACTTTAAAATTGATATCAATTTTATATTTGCCACCCTATGAATACTTTTCTGTATTGTTGTTACCTTGCATTCTTGTAGCAACTAAGTCATCATAAAGGCCGACGAATCAATAAACAAAATAGTATCTCGCATGAATCGAGTGAAATCCGTGAATCATTAATTCCTCTTATTGTATTATTGTCAATTGGACATTACTAATCTTAATAATAAGACACAAATGAATAACAGATGCACTGTATACAGACGATTTGTACGTGTGACTAATTTGCCTTATGTTTTTCTAGGATTCATTATATAGTCTTTCGACGTAGGCGTTCAGTTGAATGATCATAGGCAGATATTAGTCATTTCTATTGTATTTTTGTCCTCTGATCATCTGTGAAGCATATCAATAGAACAGAATTTCGTATATAAACCGAGAACCATCTTGCTTATCTCCATCAGTCGTAAGATAAAACAAAAGCTTCTTCGTTTGAAACATGTATGGTTACAGTAATTATCGCAATCCAGCTCTGACAAACGAATTGATTTCTGATCTATGGATTGAACAAAATGTGCCTGGTGGATTAGATAGTAAGTGATGTAGCCTGCAGATGTACGGTACTTATTGATATTAATTTGATTTCAAGGTCCCTATGGAGAAATCTTAGACAATGCAATGGGTGGAAATCCTAATCCAACGTATGGTCAAATTATGGGCGGTGCTCCTGGCGTTGGCGGTTACGGATATGGCACATATGGTGTTCAGTACGGTTATCAATATCGTCGATGGTAGTAAAAGCAAAAGAGACGCAACGTCCTGTTCTTTCTATAATAATAAAGCGCTTTATTTCGTTCTTGATTACATTGAAATAAACATAAAGATCGAAAAGAAAAAAGTTCATGGCATGAATTTAGATTGATCTCAGTGTCATCTTAGCCCAAATTAGTCTCACAGCGTTTGCCAGTAAAACGCTTTGGACAATGACAGTAGAAGGAATTACCATTGTTATGACATGTAGCACCATTTCGGCACGTTGTTAAACTACATCGTTCAACTAAAATTCCAAAAGAAATAGAATAAAATTATAAAAACTCGATGTTACTCACAAGGTTCGGTTGTGGGTGTGATTCGTGTCTCACATTGTTCACCAGTATATGCTGACGGACAGTAGCAACGTGGTGGTACTGCACTATGTAAGCAGACTCCAGTATTACAATAAGTAGCAGGCATCTGATCACATGTAGGACGAGGAACTACAATTTTCTCACAGCGTTCACCTTCGTTATCTGACGGACAAACGCATTTCGGACTGCCATTGGTGTGAAGATAACAAAGACCATTATTTAAGCAATAGTCAAAACACACTAAAGTAGAAGTTATCTCTTTTTTGTTATTTCATATTTTGTTTAGTTACGTGAACGATTTTGACAACGATTTCCAGTGTGCGGATATTTGCAATGACAAACAAATTCTTGTTCATTAACATCACAGATCCCCCCATTTAAACAAAGATCAGGGGCAAAAATCTCACACAAACCGGGACCGTTCGGAACTTGATCGGCTTGCACAACTTGTGATGAATTGTTTCCTCCAGTTGCTTCTTGGATTTCACAGCGTTTTCCTTTCCATTGTGGTAAACAAATACATTTCGGGCCTTGTGGTGTTTTAAGACACACGCCACCTTTAGAACAATAGTTTGTGCATGGATTCGCAGTAGAACTTGATTGAACAAGATTGCCAGTAGTCAACAGAAGAATGGCGATGAGTAAGAAATCCATTGTAGTCTTCTTCTTCTTTGTTATCAGATTTATTTCAAGACGAATGACTTCACTGATAATTCGCTGATGGATATATAGGTGTGGACATGCTTGCTGTTCTCATTGTAATTTGATCCTAACATGACACGTGAAACAAAGAAAACGATCGGGTTCGACCCATGATGTAGTAATCGTCTTTTATTCGAGTAGGATTCAGTTTGTTAATGCCGTGTTTGACTTCCTATATTCTGCGGAAGTGTGATTTCAAGAATAGAACATGAGTTGTCAATATTGATCGTAACAGGACACTAGGCGAAATCTATTTGAACACATCAATTTCTGGGTTAGTCACATGTTTTTGAAATCAGATAAGTTGAATTTTAAAGGTATTTATTTTATCGTTCGATCAATATGAATGTTTTCGTTGTTTCAGTTGCAGAAAGACGATAAAATCGTCGAAAAATTCCTCTTTTCAAAATATTTTGAGCTTCGACAAACACGACGCTATCATCAAGAGAAGAAAGAACACAGATATGCATTGAGCCACTGTAATGTTGAGTGAACTCGAATAGGTCACCATGAATTTTTTTCTTTATAATAAGGAAAGAAAAAATAATGAGTAGGAAGGCTTCACGACTTGCTTGCTCTCTCTCTCTCTCTCTTTTCCTCTATCCTGTCGTTAATTTTTTTACATATAACACAAACGCACATGGTTTATTACTCGTCGCTGCCTCTTTTCTATTCTCTCGCGAAGAAATTGCCATGAACTGATTGTAGAAGTTTTTATTCGTGCATTGTATTGATGATAAAATCGCATAATACATGTCAACAACATCCAACGAACGATCTTCACGTAGCCTAAGAATTTACACAAACCATCCATGGAAACTCATCAAGACCGGATATCTCGTTGTAACATGGATTGCGCTTGTAAGTACATATTAATTAAAATTTATTTTGTCTTACATGCTGATGAATTTTAGGGTTTTCATTTCGAATTAGTCGGTCCGACGATGTCGATTCTTGCTGAAAATATTCAAGTTGATTATAGCGGTATGGGCTCGGTGCTGGCATTTCGAGCCGTCGGTTATTTAATCGCTAATATTTTCGGTGTCATTTTACAGAATATTGTAAAAAAATATTCTGAAGGCCTTCTGATATGTGCTTTCCTCCTCTCTGCTGTCGGTAAGAAAAGTCAATCGACTATTTGTTACGATCAATTTGACTCTTTCTCTTGATTAAGTGGTTTTCACAACATCGTTTGCAAGATCGTTATGGTTGATATATATTCTATTTTTTGCTCAAGGAATCTCTCAAAGTTGTACAGATTTAGGCGGAATGAATATTTTGTTGACAATGTGGAGCGACAAAGCAGCAGCACCATTGAATATCATTCAATTAGGATATGGTATTGGAGCGATATTTGTCAATTTACTTGTTCGTTCATTTCTTGTGGAGAAAAGTTCATCAACTACGACTAATAGTCTAGTTATTCCATATTCTATCACTGCTGGTCTGTGCATCTTAGTTGCTGTTGGACATGCGGGGTTTTACATCCAGAAACTACGAAATCCAAGAGAACAAGTCGAAGCCGGACAGGTAAGACTTCGCTGTAAACGAAGGAAGATCTCTTTTGAATGATCGATTTAGTTTGACTACAATACTCTCAATAATAATAATAATAATGAAACTGTGAGAGAATTCGGTTCTCCATACTCTCCTCGTACATTCGGTCACGGGGATTTTCAATATGGTTTGACTCTATCCATCCTATTTATATGTTACATATTCTTCGTTAGTGGGGATGATCAAACATTTTCCAGATTCTTTTTTACATACCTTCAGTCAGGACAATTTCATCTATCGACTAGTGCAGCAAGTTGGGACGTGATTCTGTATTGGCTTTCATATTCTGTATGTAAATCGAAACGAAAAAGACGTGATGATGAACAACATGCTTTCTTTGTCACATAGGTTGGTCGATTATTTGGAGCAATTCTATCGATTTTATTTTCGGTTACTATGTGCTTAAATATAATTTGGTTCGGAGGTTTGTGTCTTGCTATAGCTTGGTTGATTCTTGTTTGGAATGTTGGTCTAACTTCGACAAGTTTACTTATTCTTGGCTCGGCAACTGGCTTCGTTTTTGCTCCATTATTTCCTCTTTCAATAAGTTTGATTAATCAACGATTGAATGTCGTGCCCGTACTTCTTGCTTCGGTTCTTTGCGGTGCAGCACTTGGTGCCATTGTATTTCAAAAACTAGCCGGTAAAATCTTTACAAGATGAAAAGAAACTCACCCATTGTGATCAATTTCAGGTATCATCATGGATAAGAATCCAAAGCATTTTCCAACATTGTTAATCGTTTGTATATTGATATCAATCACTCTGTATATTATATCTTGCTTTATTCGACGACGAAATCGACCTGCAATACCGAATGGAGTGATTCTTACTCTGGACACATTCTATGAAGGCGATGCACAATAAATACCGTAGAAGCCTAGAAATATTGTCTAGATTATTTTTGAAATTGTAATAATAAATCACACTTTTGCTGTACAAAAGGAAGCAAATATATTTGTTTTGCATTTGAGCATGATTCACACATTCTCCTACGACGATCTGCATGTAATATAGGCGCGTACATGCGATATGTTTTCTTTGGGATGGTAAATAATCCAATATTATTTTTCATGGTTTTTATCATAAGCTAATAGATGATAAAACTAATCGAACTGGATTTCTGCTATTAACATGGATCATGCTGGCATGTCTAACGTGTAAAAATATCAGAATATTCTGTTTTGTTGAAGGGTGCTCATCTAGAATTGAATCATACCAAGTCTAGTCGAATATCTTAAGATCGGTTATAAAGATATGGACTATGCACTCTATCCGATAGTAGTATTGAATATTTGACGATAAATATTCGTGGAATTCTTACAGAAAATACCGTTGAGAAACATTCGGAGGAACTTTTGATTCTTTCATTCATTCTGCCGGCTATCGGTAAAGACCGTTATTGTGCAAGGAAGCCGAGCTTGTTTTGTGTTCTTTTTCAGCGTTTTTTGCTACATCATTGATAACGTCATTGATATCAATGTGTTTTTTTGTTTTTCATTCAAGATGATGCGCAAGAAAGGACAGATTTAGATTATATGAACAAGTCCTTTTGTACAGTTCAATGGTATTGATTTTGTGTTGTCCACCTAGAATCAATATTTTACTAGAGATCAGGAATGAGAATACAGTACCTCCAATAAGTATGGTTCAATTTGGATGTGGAATTGGCGCTATTTTGTCCATCTTACCCATTCGATCTGTTCTAGCCGAAAAAGAAAAAGGAAAATTCCGAGTATTACTCTTCCATATTTCATTGTTGTTAGTGGACGTATTTCAATATCCATTGGTCATATTATATTTCATAGTCAAGATCGTCAAAATCGACGACAAAGACTAGAAACTTGACAGGTTGCACTTCTTCAACTGAAATAGATTAAATATTGTACTTAGAATAGTCATTCCGAGGAAGCTCAACGTCCAGAGTAGCAAAAGTACTTTCACCGTATTATTCTCGAGTAAAATCAATCGAGCTTCGTATTTTGGGCTTTCTTCATAATTTTAGAAATTTTTATCGCTAGGGACGAACAGATGTTTTCCAAATTCGCTTTCACTTATCTCCAACCAGACCAAATTCATCTTTCAATCAGCAGTGCAGTTTGTATGACAATTTTATATCGGCTTTTCTTTTCGATATGTGTTGGAAATAATACAACTTTTCAATTAAGCAGCAACTAAATGATTTAGATTGGTCGTGACATTTTTATCTTTGTATCTCTCAGTTTGGGCTATCGATCTAGCATTGATAAATTTGATAATTGTTAGTGGAATTACCGGATTGATATTGGCTCTAGTATTTCGTCTATCGTTTGATTTGATCAACCAACAATTGAATATCACGTCTGTATTTATTGATGTAACAAAGAAGTAGCATCATTCAAGTAAGTATTTTCCGATGCTTTTGATCATTTACATGCTACTATCAGTTATAGTCTATTATACTCCATCAAACTTCGTTTATTTCTATTATCAATACCGAAAAAACCACAACAACCAGAAATGTCTCTGATTGTTAAACAGCTGGATCACGAATAATGTGATTCAATATAAATTTCAACCATTTCATAACATAAATATCATCAAGCACTTCACACCCGATAGTGCTTGTAGATGAATCTCTTATAGGTACGGTTCTCTCGAAAGGATTCTCAGAGAAAAATTCTACGACAGATTCCGACTGTTCCGCCACTCTTCTTTTCCATTCTTCGTATGAAACATCATTCAGAGTCCTACCACATTGCCGCATACACACAATCAGATTCTCAAATGGTATTCCTTCGCCGAATGGAACAATGTGATGCACTTTCCCGTTGATATTCGACCACTGACGACTCAATGAGACAATACCTTGAACTGCTAAATTAGCTGGTAGTCCATTCAATCTTGTGTTGGTAGCTGTCGTCGGAAAGCAACCAGTTTTCATCATTGCTCTTATAAATAGTGTAAAGATGTCGTGCTGATTACAAGCACCAGTTTCTGAATCTGCCCAGATGGATCCAAGTCGATAGATTGTCACTGACAAACCGAGACGAACAGCTTCAGCGATAAGCTTCTCCGCTACCCATTTACTTTGTGCATAACCCGTTCTCAGATGATCTGTCGACACTTCATCGATATGCACTTCGTGTTCTACAGTCGATGGTAGAACACTCATAGTAGATATGTAGTGTATTGGTATGCATCGTATCGAATGATGACTTGCAAAACGAATTACTTCTCGAGTACCAAAAACATTCGAACTGTAAAGATGTTCATATGGAAGCACAAAGTTGACTACAGTTCCACAGTGAAAGATCACATCTGTTTNTTATTTCCTCGATTAATTCATCTTAAAATCAACGATATAACTCATCTAAATGTCAAACAATTTGTTCAACAGATGATTAATCAAATGAATATGAAATCTCATCGTTATTTACGATCGATTTGTTTTCGAATTTCAACAATGACAAATGATTTGTTCGAAGAATTAAAACAAATTATTAATCAAAAAAGAATCTTTTCTTGTTTTACAATTCAATGGAGATCGAATGAAATTTATATCGAATCAAAAGAATAAGATTTGAAAATAAATCAAAGAAAATTACGAAGAAATCATTCGTATTTTATCCTTTTATCTATTAAATCGATTTCCACACGATGAACAAAAGTTCATTGAAAGATCTTGTCGTGGAAAATTACATTTTGAACATGATGATGATATCGATTGAAAGACATATGATGGTGGTGAAGGAGAATTCACCACTTCGTCATACATCGATACGGGTGCAGGTGAGATTTTGTTTGAATATGTTGTTGAATGACTATTCTCTATTGGAATTGAACGACCAATATCAATAACTAACTACAAAATTAAGAGATTTATACTGGAGATTTTTAGAAGAAAACAAAGATCTGTTTACATTATAAGCTAAATTGGAATTATTTTGATTTCCATATGCTCCCATCCAATTTCGTGATGTGTCTAATCTCCAACTACATGGAACTGGTGATCTTGTTGAATATCGCAATGATTCTTCAGCAACAGCTCGTCGTAAACGACCTTGACGTTTTGAATTGATAACACAAGCACCAACACCGACGAACACGGATCCAATCGTAGTGAATATCACTCCAAGTGCAAGAAAAATATAAAACGACTGAGATATGTTTTTTCCTGCTGTTAGTCCTGAAACAAGAAAACTGATGGTTGAAAGTGTCATCGTCATTGCAAAAATAATCCAGAATAAGTTGAACATTCGTTTCGTTGAATTCAATGCCTCGTTGATGCGTTGAATCGACTGTTGATACTCAGTTTGACTGATAATTCCATTGAGATGAATAGGATAAGTCGAATCAAATTCTCCCGAAACACATCCAGCTGAAGAATTCAAGTTCAATCAATGAAATTTCGATTAGAGAGATATGCCTACTTTGAACAACTGAAACATAAACAGTATTCGCATTCATAGGAATACCAATCATTTTCTTGTTCGAAGCACAATCGAGAGAAACAAAACACACTTAAGATCTTTATAAATGTTGTCGTATTTTAATATCTTAGGCAAAGTTTAGAAATAAGATAAAAAGTATACATGACACATTATTTGTTCCAGTTTCTTTTTTTTTTGGTTCGTAAAGTATTTGATATTGATAAGAGTCATGAAATAGCCAAAAACTATTGACACCTTATTACATCAATAAAGCTCAATCAAGAGCCAAAGTTTTTTCATGTTTTATTTGTATCAGAGCAAAAGATTTTATTTCGCCATTTTTTCATCGTGCTACTCTGATCAAATGATCAAGATAAGAAATGATGAAGTTCTTAAACCATCTCTGAAGTTTACGATCTATATACTCACCTTGAGATCTGACTGTATAAAGTGTATATCTATAAACTGAATTCAAATACAACACTAATCTTGACATTTAAATGTCAGAAGATTGGGTTGTCGTGTCCTTTATTTCACACTGATCGATCATGACTGTTAAGCAGCTTCCGTTGATTGTTCTACTGTTTATCTCGTTGAATAATCTTGATGTACTATCTTTGTCAACAGTTACTTTCGATGAATTTTTTAACTACACGGCCTTTTCTTCCATAACTCTTTCACCGAAAATTGATCAATCGATTCTTATTCAGACGACACGTCATGTTTGGGAAGAGAATATTAATGAAGAACATCTCTATCTCTTCAAATTACAAGATAATTCGAAAACATTGATAACAAAGCAAGCAAGTAGTTTTCAACCACGATGGAAAGACAATCTGATTGCATTAATACTTGCTGATAGTTCAACAAAACCAAACCAAACAAATCAATCGCAATATATTCATCTATACTCACTTCGCACAAATGAAATGATTCCGATTTCGATAGGTACAGAACATGTTCATACATTTATTTGGTCAACAACATCAATGAGTCTATATTTCGCTACTCGTACTCCTCAATCGACAGATGCTCGATCAGCGCATGAAAACGAATGGAAAGATGTGATCGACTATCGTGAGCAACATCGAGGTGATACAATCTATCGAGCTGATATTGAAAACATGACCATCGTGAAAATCGAGCCTTTAGTGAACATATCCTATTCGGTGCATGAAATGATTTGTTCACCTGATGGTCGACAGTTAGTCTATTCAACAGAGCCAGCATCATCACAGATGGAAAATATGGCAGATAACGAACTGTACTCTTTGGATTTAAGTAAACCATCGCCATTAATTCCAGTTCGATTGACGAATAATTCTGCAGTGGAAAGAAATTTAAAATGGTCAGCGGATGGATCGATATTTTTTACAGTGATATCCGAAGGATCTGTTGATGGTGAATACGAAGAGATGCAAGGACGGTTGTACAGTTTAAATCCAAATAACGGTCGAATTCAACATTGGGCAAGTCAATTCACCGGAGAAATATCAAGTTATGTTTTATTACAAGGTGAACGACAGGGTGTTGCATTTTTAGGTCAATTGAGTACAGAGGTTCAGATCTACCACCAACAATCGATTGACGCTGCAGTTAATAAACTGATGGGTTGGAATGGAACTTATGAAAAGATTGTTACTTTTCCTGGAGATAACAGTTCAGCGATTGCATTCATTCATTCATCTTTTGAAAAACCTCAAGAAGTTTATTTTGTTGATCGAATGGATCAATTAAATGTCGCACGACAAATAACTAATGAAAATCAATTATTCACTGAACGAAATCTTCCCAAAGGAAAGCCGTATCGATGGACGAATAAAGACGATGGAACTGAAATTGAAGGCATCCTTTTATATCCACCAGACAAATTTGAACAGAAAAACCTGCCATTATACGTTCTCATTCACGGTGGTCCACATGGTGCCGATGTTAACACCTTCCAACCCGATTGGTATTTTTGCGCACCGATGATTGCGACAGAAGGATGGCTCGTATTTGAACCAAACTATCGTGGCTCGACGGGTCAGTGAGATATATAGAATACAACTGTGGAAACGAAGTTTATTCTTTTTAGGATATGGCGATGAATTTCTGCAAGGCGTACGATTTCAAATCGTTTCTCGACCAGCGAGAGATATTCTCTTTGGTGTTGATGCGTTAATTCACGATGGAATTGCAGATCCAAAACGATTGACGGTTGGTGGATACAGTTATGGTGCTTATTTGACAAATTGGATTATCACGCAAACAACTCGATTCAACGCGGCTGTGTCAGGCGCTGGTGCATCGGAACATGTGGCTGATTGGGGGTTGACAGATATACCTTACACTAATGTTTATATGTTCGGCGGTTATCCATGGCAAGTACCACATTTGTATCAAGCAGAAGCAGCAATCCTTCGCATGGATAAAGTTCGTACACCGACACTGATCATTGTTCCTGCTAATGACATTCGTGTGGCTGCATCCGAAAATTACATTTTAGAGCGAGGATTGCATAGCCGTAATGTTCCATCAAAAATGATTATTTTGCCAGGTGAAACTCATGGTATTCCCAATAATCCATGGCATGGAAAAATCAAAGTACGAGAAGAGATTAAATGGTTACGAAAATACGGAGACATCTGCATACCACCGTGCAGTGAAGTGTTGATTTCAAAGTCTTCCCATACTAAGCACAATTTTATTTATATCTTCAGTTTTATTCTTTTTTATTGCGTGTAGTATTTGACCTATCGATTCAAATCGATTTCGAACTTGAAATATACTTCGATAATGACGAAGTGCTACTCCATAGCATTGACTAGCCGAATTATATTCTTGCGACGACATATTTGTTCTAAACAAGGTTGAGTTTAAAATATGACTGTAAAAAGAAAAACAAAGGCATGAAGTCATTCATTTGAAGCAGTTATACATACGAACTATCTCCCATATCTGACTCAACAGATGTACTTTAGCTTACGTGATACAAAATTCGATAGCTATATACACGTATAGTATACCATGTCTGGTTATAGGATAACATTATGCATTGCGGCAAGTTATAATATGAAAATGTGTATGATTTTCCTGTTGAGCCAAAAATCATTTTCTTAATTTCTTTTTATTAACCCAGTTCTTAAAGTCATGCAACTATTCCATCATCTTCGGATAAAAAAGGCTCTCCTTCATTAAATTTTATATTCGAAGGTTATCATGAACTTCAGCGTTGCATTGTTAGAATGAAAAAGACTTCGAGTGCAAAGCTTTTATTACTTCATCGTTGGTCATATAGTTTTAATGGATGTTTTTATATTGCTCCGCGTAGTTATGTCTTACAAAAAAACAACAGTAAAAGACAATATTGACACTCGCGAAACACATAAGAAATATTCTTTACAATAAATAACATGAATTATCCTTTTGTCGCGAATGTTGTCCGTATTTGTGAAGTTATTCTCTTTGAAAATGGAATTATAAAATCATTTGCATCAATATTATCCATGTCGGTTGGTAAACTTCAGTTTCGAGTGTATAAAAAGTTATCCAAGACATGCCTGAGAAGAAACAAAATCTTTGATAAATCTGATTTATTGCACCGAAATTTTGAAAAAATTATTCAATAATATGAGTACATATCTTTGACGCATACTAGCCCTTAATAATTATTCAAATATTTAGTTCTTATCAGATGACGTTCGCATGAATAATATATTTTCAACTGCCGAGCACGAAAAATTTACTGGTCCAGGGTATTGAAACTGATACATGTTTTCAACTAGATCATCTATATAAAATCCGACGCTTCTAATCAATGCATATCTTGAAAGATATCCAAATATAAACGATTTAACATGTACCATACAGTTTATACGTCGACCATAATTAGTTTTATTATCTTTATTCAAATCGAAGGATATCCAATTGAAAAAGTAATACATTCGATATAAATATTAGTCAAAAGACAACCATTGTTTTTTCATTTTTAAGAAGGAAAAATTATCTAAATTAAGAAAACCATACGAAAATCGTAAGCTATGCTTTTTCAACATTAGAAGTTTAGTTATCTTTATTTTAGCCAACCTATTCGAGGGTGATATGATTTTCCATGGCTCACCGCATCCAAACCTTGTGATTCATTTCAATGATTTTTTAAAATTATTCTTATATGAGATTATTTTAGCGCGGAGTTGCACGACGTGGAACTGCTTGGACAAATGGAATAGTTCCATACGAATTTGATTCCGACATTAGTGACTAATTTTACTTTCTCTACTAAAAATCATCATGTGTTCCATCTCTTTTAGTACCCTGGCTGCAAGAACTTGTCATATCTGTCATGCAGAAAATGGAACGTTTGACTGCTATCGAGAATGTTGCTTGTGTTCAATTTCGACCGAAACTTCCTAACGACCAATATTATATTCAAATTGTTCAAGAGTTGGATTGTTTTCCATATGAAAGTGAACAATACCGTCTTTTATCTACCTGTAGTATTATTATAGGTTTGACAAGGACACTCACCGCATGTGGTTTCATTATTTTATCCAGATTGTTTTAGCGAGGGAATCATTATGCACGAACTATTACACACTTTGGGTAGTATCTGTTATTCTTCCATGGAGAAGATTCGTATCGACTAGGGAAGAATATTTATTCAGTAATACTCTTAGGTTTCTATCATGAGCAATCAAGACCTGATCGTGATAATTATATTCGAGTTCTCTATGAAAATATAGCATTCGGTAAGAAAAGATAGTTTTAATGCAGCAAATCGACACAATTTTGACAAATATAATGACACATTTGTGGATACTTTGAATACATCATATGATTATTCATCTATAATGCATTATGAAAGAGATGCATTTTCTTGGAATCGTCTTCCAACCATCGAACCACTACAAGCGAATGTCACCATTGGTCAACGTGATAATATGAGTTCAACTGATATTCATGAAGTTCAATTATTATACAACTGTTCAGCTATTGGTGTGACCCTACCTGAAATAACTACTACGACACCACGTAAGTAAAGAAAAAAAGCAAATCGAGATTTTGATTTACAAGTGAAGTATAGAGAGCCAATATTCAGTAAATACAACTGTACTATCAGCGTGGACAACAAACAGTCGAAAGTATATTCGGCGCAGTGCTTCGACAACACACACTTACTATGAAGCATATCGAGTTACTGTGTCAATCAACGGCTGCTATATATTTACAAGTAGCAGTCAAGTTGATACTTATGGCTATTTATATTCGGATAGTTTTTCTCCTATCGATACCAGACAGAATTTGATTATAGAAAATGATGATGATGGCGGAAATGGCCAATTCCAATTTGAAACTACTCTTGAAACCAATCGCACGTATATTCTGGTTGCTACAACATATCGAGAAAATATCACTGGAGAATATCGCCTCATTATTTCTGGTTTAACAAGTGTGAATATTATTCTCATTGACAATGCATCGACAACACTGGTTTCTAGTACCACAACTAATGGTAAGTAGATAGTCATGTGCCATGTTCTTTTCAAATCGATGCGTTTCTTGCTCTCTGTGTACATATAGAATATACTATAACATCTTCAAAAAATGTTTTATCATGTTATGATGATGAATTAACTACCGACCTTGTGATATATAACCGAGAGAACATCTTCGGCACCTATTACTACAACGCAATTCAAATCAATGTGCCCATTAGTGATAACTATGTTCTCACAAGTTCTAGCGTAGTCGATACTTACGGTTATCTGTACATGAATTCTTTCAATCCACAAGATATGTCTTCCAATCTCCTTGCCAAAGATGATAACAATGGTGGTAATAAACAGTTCTCAATATCATATAAACTATACTCCAGTATCACTTATATTTTAATTACTACGACGTACATTTCTAATGTGACAGGGAATTTTCGCATAGAAGTACGTGGTCCTGCCGAAGTTACCTTTAGTGCTCTCAAGCAAAGTTCTTCGACTACTCGACCCACATCATCTCCAAGTCCTAGTTGTGGTGAGTCTTCTTGTTAGTATCACAACTTTAACTTTCATTTGAATTGTCTTTTCTCCAGCATCTTCACCCATTCAACTAAATGTTAATGTGATCTGTTTTATTGGTTACTTCGTGGCTTCGTATGTCATTGATCAGTTTTTCAAAGTACATTGAGTATTTTCTTTTTCATTTTGTTTCCGTTGCTTCATATGCAGCACAACCTTGAATAATGCTTATCATTTACTTGATTAATAATAAAATTATTCGAATCACACCCAAAACACAAAAAGAAGTTTCAAAACAGAATAGCTCTGCAAGATACGTACGATTAATAATATTTTCCTGTAGATCCACTGAATAATCAAATTCATAATCAGGAACTTGACTCGTAATCCATTCCACAAATTTCGTCACACTTCCTGACATCGTATAATCCCAGAATCGATTTTATCGGTTCTTCTTCAGACGTCTTCACATGGAATTGCTGCACATAACGATAACGAGGATATGTTCTATTAAATTAAACTTTCCATGTTCAAATCCCATTACAATCGCAATCAAACGTCAATACATCACAAACCCTCCTCTCATCACCGAATGAATCTTTTAAATTTAGCTAATAATTCATTCGTATGTATGAACCATCTCGCAATTAGTCATGCACCATGGTATAGTTTTGATATGAAATCAAAGAGATAGGAACGAAAGTATCCTATTTCTCACCACATTCTTACCCGATAAAGTCATAATTTTGCTGTTTTTGAAAAATTTAAATAGCTTACAATTAACAGAAGATGACTGAATTAATTTTCCGATCTCTTGATCTTGCACGCAGAAAGTGCAAAAAGAGAAAATTTAAAGAACGACAAATAGTTTCCTACATGTTACTTGTACTTCTCTAACCAATTAATCATAGTACTAGCGATTTGAATCAAAATTATTTAATAGCCACATGTGCACAGCGTGCTTGTTTTACAACATTGAATTTTCCTCGACGAAACAATTTTATGATTTTTAATTTCACAAGAAGCTCTTCAACTGCTGACTGATATAATGTCTGATTCCTCTTCTTCTTCTTACAGAATAATTCAATCGTTTATGACAACAACAATCGAAAACAATCAAGCTGAGTCGCAATTTAATTTTGCTAAAATAGGCTATATTTGATGTTGGCAGATTCACCGAACTAAATAAACGGAGACAGTGCGTGAAAAAAAAGGAGCATGAAAGTGGAAACTGTCGTTGAGTAAACTATTGTCGACAATGTGTACTGTAAGACTTTTCTTCGTATCTCTTTTTATACATATGATAAAAGCAATGGGTCAAGATGGACGATCATTCAAGATGTATGTATATCATGGCTGGCAGTTACAATGCACAAATACAACCTGTTTACCGTACATGACTATTACTGGTTTAGATATTCGTCACTGTCAGGCAACTTGTTTAGCTCAACTACCTTGTCAAGGTCTTTGCTTTTCCTATTCGACTTTGAATTGTCAACTATTTGCTAATGTATGGAATCAAAACAATAATTTATTGACTAATACACACACAGTGACCATGTTCGTCGTATTGGGAACACGCACACCTTCAGGTAAATCTGATTATAGCATCTTTCTATTGAAGATGATTATTTGTTCTGTTAATAGAACCAACAACCACGTCGACTATGTCCCCATCAACATCATCAACAACAACAACAACTACTACAACTTATATCACTCTTGTGGCAGGCATACAAAATTATGCGATTGAAGTAGCCACTAATGGCTATCACGGTATCCAAAAGTTTCGTTACTATTCACTCACAAAATACAGTGGGTATTTAAGTATTGGCTATCCAGTCGTTTATTTGAGTGGAACAACCTTTTCTGGATCATATGTTAATAATGCTTGGTATGCACTTCATGCCGGCTGTGGTAACAGCAATGGGATAGCGTCTTGCACTGGTTTATGTAAAGCATTTAATCAGAATTACACTAATATAACATCAGATTGTGGAACAGGTTTTCCTGGTTCAGTAACCACTTATGTCAATCCGGATCGGGCTGTTTATACACCTACAGATACAAGTTCAACACCTTGGTCTGATTATGGACAAGCATCAACGTGCTACAATCCGATGATATACTGTGCGTGTACCACCTTTCCCTGAATATTTCTTTTGAATAATAAATTTTTAATCATTAAAAAGATCACACTTTGTTAGATAATTGTTCAAAAGTCAAAAAAGCATTAAAACCAATATTAGTTTCGAATATTTGAGTAGAAAAATAAAATACAGTGTTCTTCTCGTAGATCGATCACATATTACCCTTTTTTAACTCAATCGATTGTAAATACGATGCTTCTTCTTCACCATTTTGATTGTATAAAAACGTTTCAACTGTATCACCAATACCTAAACGAAACCCAAGAACGCAATTTAATTTTCTCAAATCAGATAATTTTCTTACCCCACGAAGGTAAATCATCAGTCACTAGCGGTTGTTGTTGCTGTTGCTGTACTAACGCCGAAATCGCGCTTCCGTGTGATGACACATCCCCAGCAGAACGGTTCGAATAGATTCGTAATTCTTTTCCTTGTTCAATTCGAATACCCTTAGGCATTGTATATCGAATATCCGATGCAGAATCCATCTTTTGTTTGATTACCCACCGTGATATATCAACATCTGTGCTTGATGAATAATTGACCAAACTAATATATCTACCATTAGCTGCACATTCTTCTACAAGAACATGGAACGTAACTGATAGATGACCTTCTTTGAAATACACTTACTTATACCAATCGAGCGTTTCTTTCGTCCCTTTGCAATGAATTTACCAGTCATTTCCTTTGCGACAATTTTTTTCTGGGGAACAACGGTAATCTTCTCACCAAATCCATACGCGTCTAGTAGATAACGATAGATAATGATTTCCGCTTCCAAATTGACTATGCTAGAAGAGAAAAACAGAAAG